ACAATATCTCTTAAAATATTTTCTCTTTAGAATTTTCATTTTCACCTCCAATAAAATGTACACAAAATACACTTGCAAGCTTGCTTACAGGGACCTGTTAAAACAATGAAGAGACAGATTCTATCAAACCAAACAGTTTATCAACATATAAAGGAGGGTAGTTTCAGTGTGTGTGTGTGTGTGTGTGTGTATGTGTGTGTGTGTGTGTGTTTTAATAAATGTGATCATACTAAGAAGGGAAAATAAAAATTGTACTTCTAGACAAGTCCTTTGGAGTAAACAAAATGCTTCAAGGCTCCTGGTGAATGGGGTTGTGAGGATGAATTCTGTATTTTATAGATAAAATGGTACACTGACTCAAATCATTATGGCTATACCAAACTTCATTTGTTTATAATTTTTAATGAAAACAAGTCGATTCTTTGGCATACTATAAGAAGGGATAAAAGAACCCTTACCACCCACCGGCTTTATTTAGAGTGGGAAATGGTAACAGGGAAACGGTTTATAATGTAATTTATTTTATTTCTCTTAGAAAAGCAGGAAAATAATCTCGAATAATAGTCTTTTGGCATGATTAGGGCAATAAACATCTTCTGCTTTATGGTCCCCCCCCCCCCCCCCCCNCGAAAACAAAACAAGCAAAAGTAGCTGAAAGCAACCTTTCCCTCTGGGCACCTGCCCCCGCCCCTATCATGCCATACCTGGATATCCTATATTAACATGGTTTCAACGGAAGTGAAACCCACAATATCAAAAGCAGTCATCTTTGTCCAGTTTTGCCTATTTAGTAGGAAACCGATTTTTATTATAGAGAACCACTTCCACTGAAATACAGATGGAAGAACTGCCAAGGGGGGAAGGCAGAGGTGCCCGCACGTGACCAGGAGGTAGCCCTGGGTGACTATCGTGGCTGGTAGTGTCAGGGCTCGAGATTCCCTAGCTTGAAGAGAAAACATTTCATGTGGTAGTTCGAAAGATTGGCTTTTAGATTCTCCCCTCCCTTTTTTTGGCACCGGTTGGTAAAATAAGTTGGAAATAAATTATTCCTAGAGATTAATATTTTAAATTTAATTTGAAAACCAATGACTCTTAGAAGAACTAAATGCACACAGTTTCCAAAACGGATTATGGAAAACAAAAGGAAAATAAAACACTTCAATTATTTCTATCCACAGAGGCAAGAACTTGACTCCTTAATACCATCAACCCTTTGGTATGCTTTCTGATCTCACTAATTCTAATAAACGTAGTCACTTCTATTCATACAACAATCTAAAGTAATTAGATGATGTCAGTGTATTTAAGTAGAAGGCTTTAGAGAATGTTAAATCAATAAGAATTACACAGTTAATATAATTTATACATGGATGATAATTTTAAGGTATCGAATTATTTTCTCTTGAATTATTCCCTCTCTGATTATTTTTTTGGTTGAAAAAAAATTTCCAAAATGAATTAATCAAATGAAGTATTAAGAAACATAGGCCCCACCTATATTTAACATAATTTCACTGTATTCCCAAAGCCTGTTGATGCCTGTGTACATTTCTCCCATCACTGGAAGATGAGATAATGAAGTTGGTCTCCAGCAGGTATGAACACAAACGCATTTACCAAAAAGTCCTTCAAACAGGCACATGAACTGCTCAAAAAGGAATTGTCCAGTTTGCAAATTTCCATGAAGCCACTTGGTAGGCTCTTTACAGGTAAAAAGAAATTAAAATATTAATTTACATCAGACAGTTAAGTGAAAGATGAAGGTACATCAAATAGTGTACTATCATTTTGAAGTGTTGATAGTTGGGTGACTAATGAGAGAGGGAAACCTACTGGCAAGCAAGCAACTACTCAAAACTTCTGGAAGCCAGGAGCCGAAGTTGTGATGGAGTTGAGATGGAAATGTCTCATTAAAACTGTAATGACAGAAGAAACTCAAACACTACATATTTAAATTTAAAATCACCTCAGTACAAGTCAAAGGGTCAACATGATACAAATGACCATCCACAACCAGTGTTTCTAAATACAAAGACGAGAAGCTTACACAGAATTCACTGTTCCATTGAACTTATACATTCATTGTCTTCTAGCTTGTAAAAAACTAACTGTTGGCATAATAAACCTAGAAACTGGGAAGATTGAGTAGGAATGCTGTAGAGAATCCAATCCCAAGTTGTCTGCCCAAGATGCAGTTCAGTGTTTCGATAGAGCTTGATAAGTCAGGCTGATCTTAAAGGTGGTAGTTGGAAATGTTTTCAAGCCAGCTCTCAAAATGTGGTCCCCAGACCAGCAGCACTGCCTCACCTGGATACTTATTAGAAATGGAAATTTCCAGATCTACTGAATCGGAAACCGTGGACATGGGCCCCACAACCTGGGTTTTACCAAGCCCTCCAGGTGATCCTGATGCGTGCCAAAGTTTGAGAACCACTTAAGAACAAAGTCAAGATAGTGGACAACCACTAAAAACTTTAGGATAGGAACTAAGAGTACACAGCAATTCTTGGTGGCTGAGAAGCTGGAAGAACCATACCTGGATGGGATTCATCAGCAGTTGACTGTGGTTTTGTTACTAAGATGGTCAGCCAGTCTCTCCTCCCTGGAACCCTCATGCATTATTACACAAAGATAGAGGGGAAAGGTTTTGTATGGTGCTCGTGGTGTTGTATCCCGTTTTCTTCAATCAGTGAGAGGTGCCATTGTTTATAAGGAAACTGAGCATTGTTCTTAACTGACTTTCTCATAAATTATCCCCAGGGATAATTTTTTTTTTGGTCTGTTTTCCCTGAAGCAATGATTGTGTTTTGGAAATCTAAATGGTGTTCTAGTCCAAAACTCTGTATTAAAGTTTTAGTTATTTCCACATCAAATGCAAACATTATAAGCAGAGGAAGAGGATCTCCCAAAAGGAGAGACAATTTTCTAGATTGCTCCACTATGAATGAGAACACAATAATTTTTTTTGGATGAGGCATAATTAGGAGTTCTTTACTAATTTCATAACTCTTGCCCAATCACAAGCTCATATTTCTAATAAAAAGTGCTTAAAAAGAGTCTTCTGCTTTTATAAGGCCACACTAAATGTCACTAGGATCACCTAAGTGGTACCCACGCATATCCAAGTTCTGTCGTCCGCTTAACGTAATATGCTGGATTTTCCTGATGTCTGTTTCCTTGTCTGCAGAGTATGTAGAAATATTTAGGCATATGGCACGTGGTTACTATGGATATTGACCTGATGCCCTCAGTACCTGGATCTTTAAACAATCTTGTCTTACCCGTTGCTTCCTCTTCAGAGAGTGCAGTGGAAAACTGGCTAGAACTTATTTTGCATATTCTCAAACTTTGATGACTTTGATGACTTCCATGTTTACTACCATCTACTTCCCAGGGAAGCAAGTACAGAGGCACTGCTGGTGACAGGGCACTTAACTCTGAGTGATTAAATGGCAATTAAAAAAAATTTACCGATCGTGCATGTCATTCCAGACACAGACTGCCACGCTCACTTGCATGACCGCTGGCCCTGAATAATAATATTCCATCATTTCCGGCTAATTTGGCAAGTTTTCTAAGTTCCCACTGAGGGCCTGCTGTAAGACTAAAGTTCAGATTTTATTTTCAAACACTTGAAACATATGTATGATCTCTCTATAAATGAACACTTTTTTCACCCCTATTTGAAAAATCCTCATAGGATTGTAGATATGGGACATCAAGTATTTTCAACTCATTTTCACAGTTTAATTCCTTGTAACACTTATGTATTCACTCTGTGTCCTTAGAGCACTGTCATGGAGAGAGAGCACGGCCTTTGAATTCAGGAACACCTCTTTTGCAACCAGTTTTGCCATTTACTGGTTATCTTGGGCAAATTTCTTAACCCCTCGGGGTCTGTATCCTCATCTGGAAAAAGTGAGGAAAACAATACCCATCTGACAAGGTTATTGTGAGAATTAAAAGGTAATGTAGGTACCAGTCTACAATCACAGTGGCGTTCAACAAATGTCACCTCCTCCCCGCTATTTGTAACCTCTTGCAATTGTTATCAGCTCTAAATTAAGGTCTTCATTCTGCTTAGTCTGTTGGGATGGACCCAAATGGATTTTCTTTTCTGAGAAAGAAAACCTTCTTGTATAAGCAGCCTTTGGGGGAAGCCAGGGCTCTCTCTTCTATAATTGCATTACCTTCTTAAAGTGAAGGCTATTCGATGTTCTCAACAGACTCTGTATAAACCTTGAAACAACAAGAACTAAAAGCCTAGTGATGCTGTACCAAGAAGTTTCCATTTAAAGGTACTTTTGAATTATGTTAATATTTCGTCATGTTTGATTGGAAATAATTTGATCTGAGCTGTTACGTATGTTAGCATCTGCCTTGGTCATTACATACTGTAGAGATGGTAGAAAATGCCCTAGTTTTAAATTGATGAGGAAGGCTAGAAAATAATCTTAAGGGGAGAGAGAACAAGATGGTGTAAAGGGGCAGCCTAAGCATTTTTAAAAGCTAATCAGGAGAGGCAAGAGCGGGGAAGATCCTGGGCCTCCACCAAAGCTACGTCCTCATGGCAAGGAGAAATCTGATGATGAGTGTGGTCTACTTGGCTGTCAGGAATTCCTAAACACTTTGGATTTTCTAGGTATTTTCATGATGCACACGTTACCAAAATATTAGAAAAAGAGAATACATCTCAGTCATAGGATAACACACTTTGGGCAATAAATACAGGTGACTGAAAGTAGTGTGCAAAATCTTATTCTGCTTAGATCAATAAATATATGGTAATGACTGTTTTCACCATAAAGGCTGTCTTGTCCTTGGTCTTTCAGAGACCGTGGGAAGAGAGAGTGAAGGCAGAGAGTGGAAAAGGCAGAAATCCAGACACTGGAAGTGTGTGAAGGGCTGAAGTGGGAAGGGACTACTCATTTACTGAGGGTTCCTAATTGTTTCTCTTTCCTCTACACTCCTGGAGAAGACAGACTTCATTGTGACCTGAAGTTCTATTTGTTTAGAGATTATTTGTCTCGGGCACTGTCTTTTGATAACTGCAAATACCTCTGGGAAGTGTCAAGGTGAGCTGAGACCAATATGGGTGTCAGGGCAGGCTATCGAATAAATGATGGGAAGGGTCCAAAACCCTCTTTAAAAACTATAGATCAAGAGCTATGCACATTTTCTCACTTTTTTAATTCTTGGAAGCTATAATGAGTCCTAGTCTAAGAGCAGTGTTTGCACATAGTATGGGGTAAATTTATTTTCGTAAACTAGCCTTGGATCTCCTAATAGAGAGTCTATGGGTGCATGAATTTTGATTTCTAAACAATTAACTAACATACTCTGGGATGTGACATTCTGAATTGACACTGGCTTTGAATTTTTATGCTTTATAAAAAGTTGCTACATGTAAACCTGCTATATTCATGGATTTGACACTCTGCCTGAGGCTTCCTGCCCCTCCCCTCCACGGCCCTTGCCCCCACCAAGTTAATGTGGTGGTCCTCATGGGTTCACAAAGGGGAAGTAAACCTCTGATAAGCAGTATACATGGTGGTTCTTTTCCTTTTTGTAGCTTTTGTGAAAACAACAAGTATCTGACTTTCAATTCTACTAACAAAACATAAAAAGTATAAGACTACAGCTCATTGCTATTCCAACAATTCATTGCTTGTTAAGATCAACTAGTTGATCTGTTTTTACATTTGAATTGTTGTCGAATGAGTAAAATCTGAAGGCAAAGAGTGTGTTTTATGGAACTTAAAAAATGCCTTCTGGATTTTGCTGTGCTCTCTCGATGGCATACGAAATGATGGGGTCCTTTGACAATGCCTAAATAAATCAGGGAACCTTGTCTTCATCGTGACCTTGTAGATGTTTACATATTTCTCAAGGAAGGCAAAGTTTACAAATACTAGCACTGAGTAAAGCTGTTAGTTTTAAATTCTTACTTCTGTACTGAAGAGTTGAAGTTTTAGTTTTAAATGACATTCCATTATGAACACATTTTTAGGGGCTGGGAAAATGATAATGTATCTTAGCAACTAACTGTTACTTTCTAGAATGTACACGAGTGGGCTTGATTGAGAAGTTTCAATCATTATCCTGAAGAACTATTCAGTGTACTGTAAATATGATAAAGCTTCCAAATTAATTTTCTAGTAATATCTAAAAGAAATATCCATGTAAAATAACGACTAGGAAAGACATCAGACATAGGATAAATTTACTTGCCAGAGAGAAGTGTTTGAAATTGAGAAACTTAATTTCCTAAATTTCATTCTATGAAATTAGTTTTAATTTCTTTAGTTTTTAAAAATTTATCTAGTTTTATTTTCTTCTGAGACCAGAGCTCATATGCCTGACACGCTCATTTCATGTGATGGTTGTATAATATTTTAAGATTTAAAATGACTTCATCCCAGTCTCCTTTCCCCACCCCTTTCCAGCTGTCTCCCTGCCCCATACTTCTGTCCTGTTCCCTGAGAAGTCTGCTTGCTGGATGGAGAACCGAGTCCTTTCCTCCAAAGGTGCGGATACAAAATGAGTTGCATTTTAATGTTTTGTTTTCTTAAAAACCCAGTGTTCTGCCCTATGTTCAGATAACTGTGGAGCATAGAAATGTCTGTGCAACAAGAAACTAAGGCACCATTTTTTTCTTTCCCTTTCCTGTTTTGCCTTGGGAGTAAAAGCAAAGACAAATGGGAAGCCAAGTGGTTGGTCAGTCTGTCTCTTGGCCATATCTCTATCAGCCAATCTCACTGTGTGTCAAAGCTGCCAGCCCACGGACTTAAAACCTGGCCAGGTAAGCATTTTCTTCTTTTAGAAACAAGGAAATAAAGGCACAAAAGCACCTTACAAGAAGAAGTTGGTGAATACCAACTGGAAAATCTTGGCTGTTTAGGTTAACTTTGAAATGTTCTGGGATATTTTACAGAGGAAGCCATCCCTTTCTTGATTGTGACACCCAAGAATGTGTTTCCAGCTGTTTTCTTCCCCGCTAATAAACCCATAATAATAATAATAGAAAATCTTCCTCCAGGGGCGCCTGGGTGGCTCAGTCGGTTAAGCAGCCAACTTCAGCTCAGGTCATGATCTCACGGTTCGTGGGTTCGAGCCCCGCATCGGGCTCTGTGCTGACAGCTAGCTCAGAGCTTGGAGCCTGCTTCAGATTCTGTATCTCCCTCCCTCTCTGACCCTCCCCTGCTCACACTGTCTCTCTCTCTCTCTCTCAGAAATAAATAAAACATTAAAAAATTAAAAAAAATCTTCCTCCAATGACTGTCTGGTACTAGATGCCTGAGTGCTTACACATCAGCTTGACTTACCAGCAAATATTTCCTTAACATTTGCATTAAAAAAAAATTGACTAGATCGATGTGGTGTTCTCGAAGGGGTAGTCCTTGAAAGGGGTCCTTTTGGGAAGGACATCACAAGCAAAAGCACTGGGAAATTAATATCAAGATTTAGAAATGTATCAAGGAATGGAGACTTTCTGAAATCATGTGCAAAATCAGAGTATCAGTTGTGTCATCCAGATATAAGTTTAGTGTCCAGAATGGCCCCAGTGTTGGGGAGCGGCAGATTGTCCTCTGAGACCCTTATTTTATGGGGCTGGTGGTGGGGAAAACCGATCAGTCAGACTGGCAGGCATTCTCTAACCCTCGCTACTGAACTTCCTTCACGTCAGTCGTCTACACGATGATGTCGTAGACCCGGCCCACTCTGCCCAGCCATTCTCTCACGGCCTGGCGCACGCGGATGTCGGTCACGTGACAGGTCAGCTGGCTGATGCACGGGAACACGGCAGGCTGGAGGGCTGTGAAGGTCTGGTCTGGAAGGATCTGAATCTGGTTGAGAACTGTTAGCACCATGTTGGTCCACGCCTAAGAGAGAGGATTTAGGGGGAATTAGCGGCTTTCTCCTGTGAGTTCATCTGAACTCTCAGGTGGGGCTAAGCCCTGCCAGTTGGCAAATGAGTTTTCTCAGTCTTTGGGCTGCAGTAAATCAGTCTTTACTAATTTAATGTAGCTACTAGAAATTGTCATTTTAAGTTCATATATACAAGGAATAGCAGAGACTCCTCTAACATTAGAGATACCTGGTTTTCAGCTTTTGTAGACAAGAGGCATAACTCGTTTTATTGCACTTTACTGTGCTTCCCAGAGGGTTTTTTTTTTTTTTTTTCCCATTTGTTCACTTTGTATCTCTGTGTCACATTTTGGTAATTCTCACAGTATTTCAAACTTCTACATTATTATATTTGTTGGGATGATCTGTGATGTGACTATTATAACTGTTTTGGGGTGCCATGAATTGTGCCTATATAAGATGAACTTAATTGATAAATGTGTGCTCTGACTGCTCCACCAATCACCTCCCCCATCTCTCTCCTGGGGCCTCCCTATTCCCTGAGACACAACAATATTGACATTAGGCCGATGAATATGCCTACACTGACCTTTAAGTGTTCACGTGAAAGGAAGAGTTGTATGTCTCTCACTTTAAATCAAAAGCCAGAAATGATTATGCTTAGTGAGGAAGGCATGTTTGGAAGCTGAGACTGGCACAAAAGCCTAGTTTCCAGCCTAAGTTAGCCAAGCTGTGAACGCAAAGGGAAAGTCTTTGAAGGAAATTAAACGCGTGACTCCAGGGAACACACAAGCGATAAGAAAGAAAAACAACCTTAGTGCAGACAAGGAGAAAGTTTGGTCTGGATAGAAGGTCAAACCAGCCCCAACATTCCCTTAAGCCAAAGCCTAATCCAGAGCAAGGCCCTAACTCTCTTCAATTCTGTGAAGGCTAAGACAGGCGAGGAAGCTGGAGAAGAAAGCTTGAAGCTCACAGAGGTTGGTTCACGGGGTTTAAGGAAAGAAGCTGTTTCCCTAAGAGCAAAGTTCCGGGGGAAGCAGCAAGAGCTGATTAGAAGCAGCAGCAGCAAGGTCTCCAGAAGATCTGCTGAGGTAACTGATGAAGGTGGTTACACTAAACAACAGATTTTCAACACAGATGAAACAGCCTTCTGTTGGAAAACGATGCCATCTCGGACTTTCAGAGCTACAGGGAAGTCAATACCTGGGTTCAAAGGGCAGGCTGACCCTCTAGTTATGGGCTAATGCAGCTGGTGACTTTAAGTAAGTTGAAGCCAGTGCTCATTTACTATTCCCCAAATACTAAAGCCCTTAAGAATTGTGCTAGAGCTATTCTGCACTCCATAAATAAAACAACAAAACCTGGATGGCAGCACATGCTTACAGATGGTTCACTGAATATTCTAACCCTACTATTGAGAACTGCTACTCAGAAAAAAGAATCCCTTTCAAAATATTCCTATTTTGAAATAGGAATTCCAATATTCTTGACAATGTACCTGGTCACTCAAGAGCTCTGAGGGAGATGGGCAATGAGATTAATGATTTTGTGCCTGCTAACACAACAGCCATTCTGCAGCCCATTTCTACTTTCAAGTCATTATTTAAGAATTCCATTTAATAAGGCTATAGCTATTATAGTGAGTCCTCTGATGGATCTGGGCAAAGTATATTGAAAACCTGGAAAGTAGTCACCATTCCAGATTCTGTTAAGAACATTCATGACTCATGGGAAGAGGTCAGAACATCAACATGAACAGGAGTGTGGAAGAAGTTGCTTCCGACACTCACGTATGACTCTGAGGGGCTCAGGACTTAGTGAAGGAAGTAACTACGGGTGTGGTGGAAACAGCGGGAGAACTAGAATTAGAAGCAGAGCCTGAAGGTGGGCCTGGACTGCTGCCATCTCATGATCAAACTTAAATGGAGAAGGAATTACTTCTTATGGGTGAGCAAAGAAAATGGTTTCTTGAGATGGAATCTACTCCTGGTGAAGATGCCGTGAAGATTACTGAAATGACAACAGAGGACTTAGAATATGACATACGCTTAGTTGATGGGGCAGCAGCGGGGATTGAGTGAACTAATCCCATTTTGAAAGTAGCTTTAGTGTAGGTACAATGCTATTAAACAGCATTGCATGCTACAGAGAAATAGTAGGTCAAAGAGTCAATGCAGCAACCTTTATTGTCGCCTTATTTTAAGAAAGTGCCACAGCCACCCCAACCTTCAGCAACCACCACCCTGATCAGTCAGCAGCCGTCAGCATGGAGGCAAGACCCTCCACCAGCAAGACTATTATGTGTTAAAAACTCAGATGATTTTTAGCAATATTTTTAAAATTAAGGTATGCGTATATCTATTTTTAGATATAATGCTATTGTACACTTTATAGACTATGGCATAGTGTAAACATAACTTTTATATGCACTGGGAAGTCAAAAAATTCATTTGACGTGCTTTGAGATTTGCTTCACTGCAGGGGTCTGGACCCAAACCTGCAGTATTTCCAAGGTGTGCCTGTACCAAAATCTTATTTATTCCTCAGATTTTTAAAAACTCTCTTGCCTTCCTATTATGAAGAAACTTTGTTTGTTTTTGTGAGATTGGAGGGGGGGAATGGCAGAGAGAGGGAGACAGAATCCGAAGCAGGCTCTGAGCAGTCAGCACAGAGCCTGACGCGGGGCTCGAACTCATGAACCGTGAGATTGTGACCTGAGTTGAAGTCGGATGCTTAACCAACTGAGTCACCCAGGCGCCCCTAATGAAGAGACATTAAATTATCAGTCTCTAGAATACCTAACAAACTGGAATAGGACTACCATATGTCTCTGTTAGACTAGATTGGCAAAAGTCCAAAGATGATTTTTGTGGATTCCAAAGTTTAGTACTATATTCAAAATGCTTTAGAAGAAAATAAGTCATCTTGCAAGATTCATGCTATGTCCAAGTTGATGTTCATTCTAAGAATACATTTTTGTGCAGGTTCATAGAATTCTAGGATTGAAGATTTTCTAACTTATGTAACAGGAGTCCACATTCTAAATGCTCGGAGTATTTTTAAAGGGCTCCTTATCACTCTAGATCCCTCTATTTCTCTTTTCCTGTCTCATCAATTCTTAAATTGAACAAACAGTACCAACATTGTTTTCTTCTCAGGCTGAGTTTTGGATGCACCACGAAATGACAAATATTAACTATACGAAGGAACACGAATGCTCAAAGCCCTCTAGGGAATGAGAATTTTTGTGTGCTCAGAATGGATTAGAAAAACTTGAGATGAAAACAGCTCATTGGTATAACCACATAATAACATGCACTTTGCTTTTCTCCTTTAGGTATTTCTTCAGTGCATCTTCAAATGACAAACTCAGGACTCCATGCCAGTGAAAGTATGTTCACTTTAGAAGCTTTAGCTTCATCTTATTTATTCAGGTGAGCTCCAAGTTCTCAATACTATCTCCTAGAACCCATAAAAATAATTCCTGACATTATGTAAGAGTCAAATTTCCATTTCAGACAGATGCTATGTCTTAGGCTCAGGCAATCCTCTGACTCTGGAGGGAAACTGTCAACTCTGACAATGGGTATGAGTGTTCTGCAAGGGGGACATGGCTGCCATTGTCTGTCCCTGGGAACCCAGCCTCCCTCTGGCACTGCCAGGTGCGCCTCCCCGCATCCCGCATCCCGGGCCGGCAGGAACCCACCTGGATCTGTGCTTCGGCGTCCCTCCCAGACACGCTCAGGGAGCTCCCGGTGGAGCCGGAGCGGGGCCTCTTCTCCTGTCGCAGCAGCTCGGGGCCCGCGCTGAAGGAATGCCGCATCTGCCCTTGGTCTATCAAGTGCTGGGGACGCTGCAGCAGTGGGGAGTCCTGGCCCCGTGGACCCAGCGGCTCGCCCTTCTTATCCACCTTGACCTCTTTGGGGAACGTGGGCAGGTTGTGCTGCTGTTTCCTCTTTTTGTATTCAGTCATCAACTTGGAAATGGTTTTGTCGGCCGCCATGGTGTAGATTTTGTTACCCGCGCTCTCCCACCATTCTTTCTTCCGGCCAGAATCCTTCTTCTCCACCTTGGGGCTCGGGGGCAGCAGCAGCACGTCCCCGCTGCCCACCCTCAGGTTCCCAGACTCGCCTGTGTGATCCCGGGCTTGACTTCGGTCGTCCTCAGAAGGGGTGTCTTTCCCCGAGAACCCCCCAGTGGATGGGGTGGAGGACTCCGACTGGAAGGAGGGGAGGATGAAGAACGGGTCACTCTTGAAGATGGGAGCCTCCTCCATGCTGTTCTCCAGATCCAGGTGCATCTGGATGTAGTTGGTGGACAGCTCCATGCACAGCTGGTGCAGCCTCTTGACCAGCCACACCCAGTCCGCATTGCTGATGGGCTGGACACTTAGCGACGGCATCCGGGCCCTCCACCGCCTCTTCTCCTTGCCTCTCGGGGGACTCACCTGGGCAGTCTCCTCAAAAATGTCTTCATCTTCTGATGAACACTGCTGGGAGGAGTCTGTGCTTTTCTCCTCGTCCTCAAAAAGGACTTTCTTCACTTGCTCGGCAGTGATGGTTTCTTGGTTGGTGAGAACCGCACAGACCAGCGCGTGGAAATAAATATTAAAACTCATTGCAGACTGGCGGTAGAGGTTGGCAGCGCCTCCGATGCCGGACACCTTCTTCAGCAGGCACTTCAGCCCAGGGCTGGTGTCAAACTCTCTCGCCGTCCTGTACGAGTCTAGCAGCAGGTCGAAGATGACCGCCAAGTTCTGCATGGAGATGTACCTGAGGAAGCCGGCGAGCTTGGCCTCGGGCACCTGGACCGTCTTCTCCTCCCCAGGGGAGGGGCCCTTGACAAACTCTTCTAACAAGATATCATATAAGTTCTGGAGTAACACTTGATGAGAGAGCAAGCTCACCACAATTTCCCTGAAAGAAACGCTTCAAATGAAAAGAAAGGGAGTGATCAGTAGCCTTTTGCCAAACGTGAGGTCCTTTGCAGCGATTCAGATGTTATACGTTTTAGAACGATATAGGCGAAATGATAAACTACTTGTGTTTTAATGCCTTCCTTTAAAAAGGGAAAACTTCTTGGGACATTACATGATAACCATTTTCACCATGAGGATTAATGGGCTTAACCCCATTAGTGGGATTAATGGGATTGCTGATACTTTTTAAAATCTTGAGGCTATAATATTAATGTTTTATAAAAACTATTAAATACAGGCACACTTATGGGAGATGACATTTTATTTCCTTCATAGCTACGAGTAATAAAATGTCAAACCAGACAGTAACAATTTCTGGTCAATCCTCTGAATTTTAATTGGCTGTCTTCACTACCCTTTGGCCTTTTTGCTCAAACTCAAAGTTGTTAGCAATCTCGTGAAGTCTAGCTTTCTAGGGACTACACTTGCTTACCAGGCGTAGCGGTTAATTCTCTAGGTGCGTATGTGTAAAAACTTGGGCACTTCCAGCGTGTGAGATGGAGGAGAGCCAAACATTTGCAACATTAAGAAATAGGTAATTGAGCTATTGTAAACCAAATTGAGGAGAGAAAGCAGCATTCACTCAACACACGCAACTGCCTTCTGTGTCCTTTCCTGCCAGCATGGCCATGGGACTCCTTTGTGTGCCTGACTGTTCATTTGGATCCACTGAGATTCCCCTCGTGTCAGCTACATGGGCTGGGCTGATCCTACCTAGACACCTGGCCAGGACTCATGGGCTGTCCCTGCTTCTCAACCATCAGTCACAAGGACAACTTCCTGCTCTTCGTTATCGGGGCTGTGCCCCTTGCTGATTTGGCCTCTTCTGTTTGGTTGGATTCTTATACTAAGAAAACAATTTCAATTCCAATCCACCCACATGGTTTGTGCTTTCACATTCTTTTCATTGCTCTTAGAATTCTATGAAAATAGCTCATGCCATTATATGGCAAACTCACTCCCGTGATGGGATAATTATGAAGGCAGGACAACTCTTAATGTTTATTTTTTTTTTAATGTTTATTTCAAGAAGCCAACCGTTATGTTAATATGACTAGTTATGACCTTGCATTTAAAAATTACTTTTTTTTTTTTTAACATAAAAGAACACAAATGCTTCTATACATTTAAGGGCTGACCTGGCCCTTTGTGCAGTGGTACATTGAGGGAACACTCTATGCTCAGCAAAGATGGAATAAGTGAGCAGCAAAGAACTGTCATTTACAAACAGTGACCCTTTCTAACAAATCACTTAAGTAACTGTTTTGTGGTAAAGTGCACATAACATAAAGTTGCTGTTTTAACCACCTTAAAAAGTACAATTCAGTGGCATTTAGCACATGCACAATGTTGGGTAACCATCACCACTATCTACTTCTAGAACGTTTTCGTCTCAAACTCAATACTCTTTGCACAGTAACTCTCCATTCCCCCTTCTGATAAGTTAACTAATTAATTTTTATTTTTTTATCCTACCCCTGATAATTTACTTAAGGTATTAAGAACCCTGGATATGCATTTTTCTGGAAGAAGAGGGCTCTAAAAGCCACCAAGTTGGTCTAGTACTTAGCGTCCTATCGTTGTAGACACAAATTCTAAGGGAAATCCTGTCACCAATTACTCAAGTCTATACCCTTGTCTGTCTTCTTCACTACACTTTATAAAGTCCTCAAGGTCAAGGGCAGTATTTCATTCATCTTTGTCCCCAGGACCTGGGAAAATGTCTGGTGAGAGGAGCACTCAGTAAGTGTCCAAGGCAAACTGAGTAACGAAAACTTATTGGTTTTAAGTGCTGGTGCCTGGACAAAACGTTCTCCTTGAGAAATGGCTCTGACGCTCCAACCCCATGTCCCTGGCAGCCTGGACCCCTGAAGCAGGGACCACAACCAGAGAGAGGGGTGAGTTTGATCAAACTTCTGAAGGTATAAACACCCCAGCCCAGAGGACATGACCTATCGCCTTCCCTGAGAGCTGGAAAGCCCTTCACCAGCAAACACTTAAAAAGAGGGTTGAATTTTGAATTATGTTTGAATTATGGAGGATCTTTATCAACCGAGATCATCCCTTTGAAGCTTTAGGATACAAAATGGCTAAGTGTGCGTGTGAAAAAGGACAGAAAATCCTTCTTTCAAGCTAACTGATGCAGCAATAAGAAAGTAGCAGCAGCAGTACTGTGGGGATCAACATTTCAGACAGATACCAAAAAAGTGAAATAACTGTTTATAGACATGCAACTCCTAATCATCTTTTAAAAAAGACCTGGAACCAAAAAAAAAAATCAGCAGATAACTTTTCAAATTTGTTGTACCCAAGTGTTTCAGCCTTTTTCTCAGCATAGGGCGTCTTCCCCCTTTAAGGAGGGGACCTTGAAGTGCTTCTGATCCCAAGTACAAAGGAAAGCTCTCCTCAAGAGTTAGTTGCATAACAAGTGGCTGACCTAAGACCTGCTAATGTCAGTACCACAGATAAACAGAGTCATGCGCTTAAAGCTCTCACTGTAGGTGGGTTGTGTAAAGCTCAGGACTGTCAAGGCCAAAGGGATTTAAAAACTGCACCCAGATTTCTCTTTATTCATATTACAATCTGAATTTGATTTACTTTTTTTTTTTTTTTCCCATGGGTGATTTCAATATGGGCCCTTTGAGGATGCACTTGAGGGCATATAAATGAACTTTCCTGAGGTCTAACTCCTCTTGTCCTCCATCCTGTGCTAAGAACTGTCTGTAGTAAGAGTCAAATCCAGGAATGCAAAGTGGTGCCACCCTTTGGCTATGTCCCTGAGTAGGTGGCCCAGCCTCTCTGAATGTTTCCTCGTAGATAAAACGGGAGTGGAAATACCTAGCCTCTGTATTCCACGTATAGCGCTCCAATACTTATCATCATTACTATTCGTGTGTTGGGAGTTTAAAAATGGAAATTTCTGTCATGGCTATTATCCTGCAAGTCTAGGAACAACAGTTTTTAGGCAATTTGATAGTATTTAAAAAGGGCAAAATTCTTGCAGCAGGGCAGAGATCTGTCTCCTGACAGCTATATTGCTCTTAAGAAGTTGATGTATTTCTCCCTGAAATAATATAAATCATGCCTCACATTACAATTTTTTAAAAAAGGGGTATAATATAGCTGATCCTATAAACACACTGAGTTGCGTCCCCCTGACACCATTCATATGTTGAAGTCTGAACCCACAGTACCACAGTGTGACTGTATTTGGAGATAAGGTCTTAAAAATTAATTAGAGTAGACCCTAATCCAATATGACTCGTGTCTCTATCAGCAGAGATTAGGACACAAACATATACAGAAGAAGATCATGTGAAGACAGGGAGAAGGCATCCATCCAGAAGCCAGGAAGAGAGGGCTCAGAAGAAACTGACCCTGCCCAGACCTTGATCTTTGGCCTCTAGGCTCCAGAACTGTGAGCAAATACAGTCTGTTGATTCAGCCACCCAGTTGGTGGTACTTTGTTATGGCAGCCCTAGCAAATTAGTACATGTGAAATGTGGAAACTTTGGTGAAAAGGTGAACAATTTTCTGTGAATTTAGTCCTTGGCTAAAGGACTCTATAACGTTTCCAGTATTCTTAGCCAAAACTTGGATGACAATGAGCCAGAATGCAAAATAAGTGAGCTTTGCTCATTATACATTCCCCACATGTTAGAGCTGGTTAGCTGCTTACCTTTTCTTCGTATGACCGTTTGGCTTCTCATCAGGAGGCAGTTCAATAATGAGCTGACAGGACTGAGCATGATCGAAGTTGTTTGGAGTCTTTGGTGAGCACTGGGTGTCCAACATAAACACCTGCAAAGGTACGCAAAGGTACAGTTCAGAGCTCCACCATCCTCCACCTGACTCTACCAGGGATTAGCTGGATGGCCCTGGGTAAGTTGCTTTTTTCTTTTTACTCATTTTCTCACTTTAAGGTTGATATTGAGGTTTCCTACCCGGTATGTTTGTTGAGAGAATTCATATGTGTGTATTAAGTACACATAGTATTAGAACAGTAAAAATTCAGTAGAAGTTAGAGGCTGACACTAATACTAATACTAGTACTACCTTTATCATGTGACAGTTCATTACACTCCTGTACACGCTGCTATTTAATATTATTTAATACTAATAAAGAGGGGCTGTGTTTGTAAAAAAAAGAATCTCTGATTTTGACATTATATTCTATCCAACACAAGAAATTAATTAGGACCTCCTGTTGGGACTACTGATGTAGACCTGCTCCTCTACCAGATTGTGGAAGAAGTGACTAAGAAAACAGTAACCACTTCCCAATTCTGACCTCCATGATCTCGTTTTACATGATTTCACAGCCTTTCCCTACTTCCCTTTGGAAATAGAAGTATTCTTAAGAAACTTTTCCTTTCCAAAATTTATAAGAGTTATCAGAGTATCTGGAGGAAGGTTAGGGACTGAGGAAGAAAACAGAAATGTTAAAAAGTAAAAGGTTCACTAAGTAGTCTCTGCCTTTCTTCTCCATTAATGGTCCAGTATTTCAGAAGAAGATTCCATGTTCTCACTGTGTGATGTATATAGTTTGGAAAACCACTGTGCGCACTGGGAAACATCTGTATCTAGCAGTGTACTGGCTTCCTAGTAGAGAAGTTACCCCAGCAGAGGACCGCCCCCTTGGCTTCTCTGTCCTGGTGCCTTACTGCCGTGGCTGTCCATGGCAGCCTTGCGGATGGGAGTGGCTTCCCACTGCAGCCTTACGACCCTTCTTCTGTTCCAGCCTCTGCGGACTGGCCATGGATGCTTCAGAGGGATGTGCTCTCTACCTTCCGAACAGCACAGCCGTCATGTCCTGAGATATCATGAGTGTTGACGGCAGACGATAGGAGAAGTGGAAGGTGGAAGGGTGTCCCACTATGTGAGGAGTGCAGGGGGAAAGCCCTTTAGAAGCCAGACCAAGCCAGGAAACTTCTCAACTGATCATCAGGGGAGCCTGGATTATTAATGTACTAAGGGGAGATTTTATTAAGAATTTAAACAGATCCTGTAGAGAAAGAAAGCCTCTAACTACTTATTCAATGATTCAATCTGACACTATGTATACATTTATAAAAATTGCTTAATATTTTATTTACTTCTCAAATTTGAGACAGGAAGAGAGAGAATCTTAAGCAGGCTCCACACTCAGCATGAAGCCCGACGTGGGCCTCGATCCCATGATGCTGGGATCATGACTTGAGACGAAATCAAGAGTCAGACCGTCAACCTACTGAACCACCCAGGGGCCCCATAACCGCTTAATATTCTAAACATACCAGACACGTATGTGCAAAATATCTTCTGCATGTGAAGACACAATTCAAATATGTCTGTTGCCATTACATGACAGACTGTATTCTCAATAACCGTGCACTGGGACACCTGGGTGGCTCAGTCGGTTAAGCCTCCAACTTCAGCTCAGGTCATGATCTCACAGTTTGTGGGTTCAAGCCCCGTGTTGGGCTCTCTGCTGACGGCTAGCTCAGAGCCTGGAGCCTGTTTCAGATTCTGTGTCTCCCTCTCTCTCTGACCCTCCCCTGTTCACAGTCTCTCTCTTAGAAATAATTAAAAATATTAAAAAAAAAATAACTGTGCACTATTATGAATATATGTAAATTTAGGAACGGTGCTTAATTACTGCTGGAAGCCCATGCAGGGCTTCTTAGAGGTAGACTGACATGTCACACAAGTGTTTGGGGGCTAATCTGTGGCTGGTGTTAATGTTGTGATTTAGTAACTCACTGCCCCAGCAGATGTTTACTAAGGCCCTTCTGTATGTACTCCTTGCTCTAGGACCACCAAGGCAAATATACAGAATGGGCTCTGCTTCTCAGGAGATCATAGCCAAGTTTTGTGAGTTCTTTGATATCTGCCAGAAGAAAAAGCCATTGGTACATGGTGATCCCTGCATGAGTAAGTATAGTTTAACCTCACTTATCAGTTACATTCAACTGAAATTATGCAACTTGTAAGTGTTAAGCTCTGTATGGGAGATATAAGAGAAAAAAAATCAAGTAAGTCCACTATCCTTAGGCACTCGTAGTCTGGCAGGAATATCAATGTTTAAGCAAATAATGGATAATCTAAGTAGTCCAAGCAAGACAAGCGCGGTATCAAGTGTAAGCGTCCAGGCAGGAAAAGGACCCTGTCTGATCTGGGCACTGGGGATGATCATAATGCTGTTGACTGGGTTAGTTATTCCTCACAAAAAACAGTACTGACAAGACGCAGAGCCACAAGGTGTATGTCCCTAAGGGAATGGAAAGTGGTCTGGTGATGTAAGACCTTCATCACCAGATGATAGGTGATAGAAGCCCCTGGGATCACAAGCCCCAGCCCTTACCTGCTGAGCCATGGCTCGAATGCGCCAGTACTCGGCCTCCGCGCTGGGGGAGGAGGAGGGGGCTGCCACCCTCACCTGGCAGCCCTCCCCACTGAAGCTCTCGGTACCACTGTGGAAGCAGCCCAGCAGATCCTAGGGAGAAACAACAGCAGACGTTCCCTGGGTGTGTCCAGGCCCCCACCCGGAGCTGACTCGGTTTCCGTGTCCGGGACAAAAGCACTCATCTGACAACTTCTTTCTCACCCTCTGCAGGATTTCAGGTGAGATGGCCCACTCAGGGGAGGAGGGCAGAACCTGGGTGCCCAACCTGACGGGCAGCACGAGGGCAAAGGAAGGCTGGACATCGCTCTGGCTCCTCCTGCCCGCACTTTACCTTGACTGGCTTGAGCGTGGCGGAGAATGCGTCCTGCAGGGCGCAGCATGCTAGCCTCCACATCTCCTCCGTGAACACGGGGCCCGCTGTGACAAGGACATACCTGCCCAGGGAAATGAGGGAAGAGATCCTGGATCTGTCTGTCTGCGGTCACACGGCATAAGCCCTTAGCAGACACACGCACAGACGTATTCCAGAGTCTCCGTGCGAGTCTCGCTGCCTCTCATCACTCCCGTCTTTCATCTGTGACATTCCTTTGTCCTAACACTGTTTCCTAAAGCATTTATTTGACTATCAAAATATCAGTGGGTCCCCAATATAAACAGGGCAATGTTTAAGCTTGCATGCAAGGCTGTATATATATTCTGTGCTAATTTTTCCATTCTAGTTCCATTTTCTACCACTCCTCTACAAATGACAATCAAAATCACAAAAACCTTCCTGTCACTTGTAACTCTGGCCTCCGTGCTTACGTTTGTGATGCTCTCCTTGCGAGTTCCCACCAAACAAAAGCTAACCTACCTCGGGGGATCTGACCAAGTGTCATTAATGTGAAAAGCCCTTGCTGACCACCCTGCTCCTCGGCCCTCCTGTCCCTTCTTGGCATGGATGGTAACTCCTTACTATTATCATTTTACATGGTTCTCTCTTTGTTATATCTTTTAGAAAAGGCTAAATCCTCTCGAGGGTAGGGATCTTACTTCTTATGCAGCAGAATACCTCGTATAATGCCTAACACAATAAATATTTGCTGATTAAACATGAAATGAGGAATTATTAGCATATATAGATGTATGTGTGTATATGTGTATGTATATGCATACATACATATATACATATATTGTATATACACACATATATTTTGTGGAGGGCCAGGGAACCATTTTCTCACCTAATACAGGAGCAGCCCACCCGGGAGATGGTCTCCGTGGGCTTGGCCACACACGCCACCAGTAACTCAAACAGGTCCTTCAGCATCGTGTTGATCATGCTCTCATACCTGATGTCTACAGGGAAAAGTAAGACCAAGATTTCACTCAACTGTGTTGTGAAGGAGAGGGTTGAAATGGCATTTGTAGCAAAAGGAGGAAGTCCTATAAGCAACTGGGAGAAAAGTCATTTTCTTGGGATTTTAAACTCAATTTTAGCTTGTATTATCCATTTCAAGATGAAATATGTGGTTTACTTTTATGTGTTGAGGTACAAAGTTAAGCATGTAATTGATCTACTTAGGCAGAATATAGCATATACAGCCTGAATAGTAGCTAGTAAAAATAATTTAAATTCTTCAAACAATGGAAAAACAAAATGTATACCTTCCTTATTGCTGATAGACTAAGTAAACTGAGTTCAATGCTCTCAGCAAACAAAATACCTCTTGTCTTACCAGTACGTGAACTTTTCAGTCTGGCACACTATTCCCAGACCAAAGAAGGTGAGACTTCCCCAAATCACATTCTATTTGTCCAATTCAAGGACTGTATTCTTTCCCTCAATGCCCCTGTGATGCCACAGCTTCAACTTTCAGTAGGACCTTCAAAGGTTCTGTGCAAAGCAATGATCCAGATGAGAACATCTACCCCTATGGATAGTTATTGCTTACATGTGGAAAAATCCACTTGTTTTCTTTCACGATTGATGTTCTTTCCTATGGGGCAAATTGTCCTCACACTTAGCATAGCTACCATTTCTTATCTTTCCTTTTTGACTCTCCCTTGGGGTGAAAGTCTCAGGAGATTTTCTAACCTTTCCAACAAGGGAGTCTTTTACCTCACCTCTTCATTTATAAAGAAAAGAGAAAGGCATATAGAATGTTTTTTTAATGCCTATTTTATTTATTGAGGGGGGAGGATGAGAAAGAGGGGAGAGAGAATCCTGAGCAGGCTCCGCACTGTCAGCGCAGAGCTAGATGTGGGGCTTAATCTCATGACTTGATATCATGACCTGAGCTGAGATCAAGAGTTGGGACGCTTAACCGACTGAGCTGCCCAGATATACAGAATGATAACTTCTAGGGTTAACAGTAATTTTTCTTGTTCTCAAACTTCCAACTGTTCCTACGAAGAACCATGAGCAAGAATCTAGATTTCACAAATGTTGCCCCGCTGGTACCATAGCTGACCTGTTTCTCTTGCCTCTAGTTCCTGCTCTATCTGCTGACTTCAATACCCTATCGACCACACACTTTGAGATGTTTCTCAAAGTGCCACAGATACCAAGAAGAGTCCACCCCTAACCTCTTAAACAACTTCTTGCCTATAATTTAGGCCTGTTCTAAAATCTTATCTCCTCCATTTAGCCTCCCCAGATGAAGCAGGAAGATATACCCCCGTCACTTTTTTAACCTATTATATATTTGAACTTGCCTCCCCTCTCCTCATGCACAGACTTACTAGATGGCATTTTGTTTTTAGTCACATACGCATTTTAGGTATCAATTTTCATTTTGATCATCTATGAGAAGGTAGGCAGTGACCATATAATTCTATTGTAGTCATTTCCAGACAAAAATCAGACACTGGTATGTATAAGCACTTTTAAACAGTGATGCTTCCTGTGAAAAAGGTCCCCAGCATGGACTGCTGTGGCACCATAGATACCTGAGTGTATAAAGCTCTGAATGTGCTCCACCACCAGCTCACAGGACAGGCCAATGGCATGCTTGAAATTAGCAGAAGCCACGTCCCAGTACGAATGGTCTTTATGGCTACGCCGGAGCCAAAGGGACATCACAGGGAGGAGAAGGTGAACCACCGCATAGATCCCAAACCCGGGTCCTGGAAGAGAAAAGTCAGCCTGAGAACTGGGATCACAGAGCTCTCCTGTAGTGAGAGGGAAGCTCCCGCTGTCGCCTGGCATCGCCCATCTCTTTCACGGGCATCCCCCACTCTCAGAGAAGCAGCAAGGAAAAAGAATTTACTACTGATTGGGGAATATGTGGTCTTTGGTGGCATTTTTCTTGTTTTTGATGATTTTACTTATGCAAGTGACACATGAATAAATTCATAAAAAAATTAAATATCAATAAGGTTAAAGGATCACCTGATTGACTTTAGTCCCCAGATATAAACAAACATACAGATACATATACACACAAGAAAATACCCTCTAAAGTATTTTAAAGTATACACATGTCTATACGAAACATTGAGAAACACATTAACTCACATTAGAGACATTCTGTCGTTAACACATTTAAATATTCTTCATTTTGACTGCCATATACTATTCCATTGCACATATCCACAACAGTTACTTATCTGGTCCCTTACGGATGGCCATTTAAGGTGTTCCTAATTTTTTGCTTTATAGACAATGCTATAATGACAATCCTTGTGAAAGTGATGGATTTTTAAAATCTGATTACAAAAGTAAGGCATCCTTTTTTCTTTTTTTCCTTTTTCTAATAAGCAGAAAACACATGAGAATATAAAGAAGAAAAAAACCTCACCCACAGAGATAATCACATTTTGATGTTTGACTTCCAGTCTTTTTGAATGTACATGTATATTTATAAATGCATAAAATGTCATAAATTTGAGATTGTACTCCATAGTATATATACTTTAAATATTCACAGATACTCATTTTAATGTCTGTAGAATATTTATATGCTCTTACCAGAATTTACTTAACCCATTTAGGGTGTTCATAATTTTTTTGGTTTTCAATATATTTCAGCAAGCATTATATACACATTTTATCTATTAATTTTGATAATTATCAAGTCTTCATTAGTTTATGATAAATATGAAATTCCTCTTACTACAAAGGAATTAACTAGTGGGTTCATTTGTGGTTGATTTCTATAGTTTCTTGGATCTTGAGAAAATTTGCATGTGTACGTGTACGTGCTAAATTTGATTAATTTGAAAGAAGAAATAAATTCCTCAGGGCCATTCTTTTCCTGTGGAACTAAGGTACTTAATGACCACTAAATGTCTTTTTCTAAATCTAATCACCTATGACCTTTATACGTTCAAAATCGTGCTGTCTTGGGGCCCCTGGGTGGCTCAGTTGGTTGAGCGCTCAACTCCTGATTTTGGCTCTGGTCATGATCCCAGGGTTGTGGGATGGAGCCCTGCCCTGGCCTCCGCACTGAGTGTGGAGTCTGCTTAAGGTTCTCTTTCTTCCTCTGCCCCTCTCTCCTGCTTGCATGCTCTAAAAAATTAAAAAGATCTTGCAGTCTTCATATTGCATATATATATATGTGTGTATGTGTGTGTGTGTATATATGTACGTGTGTGTGTATATATATATATATATATATATACACACACATATACATAGGGTTTATTTATGTCACTGGAGACCCCATGAGTCCTACTAACAGCCCTGGGCCAAGAGCTTGTATGATCCAGTCAAAGAGGAAGACTATAATCCTGGAACAGAGCAAAGCCAATACCCTTGGCCTGATTATTGTGGGAATCCAACACACTCAACTAACCGGATAGTACACATTATTTGTAAATGGACTAGTGGGAAGACATGGAAACAATAATGGAACTTATCTTAAACATCACTGCATCATAGCCATTCAGCAAGTATTTAACTGAGCATCTATGATGCATAGAGCTCTGCCCCAAGTCCCGGGATATAGGTATGAAACAAGCAGACACAAAGAAATGCCCTCCTAAATGTTATATGCATAAGCGCTCCCTCCAAAGAGAGAGGTAGAAATTCTTACCAGGTGTTTTGGTAACATCTCTCAACAGCTCAAAGAGTAAATCCAGGGTGGGTGGCTGGTGCTGCCGTGGACAGTTGGACACAGCTGCTGTGAGCTGCTCCAGCAGGATGATCCAGACTTCTATCAGCCCTGCGAAGCAGAAGCAGATCTCTGTGAAATCCTGTTAACCGTAATACAGAATCATCAGAAGACCAAACTAAACGCTGTTAGGTTAGCAGTGTGTTGTATGGATGTGAGGTATCGCCTGGTAGGGTAGCCAGCAGCATCTACAAGCAAGGAGAGATTATGATTTACACACTCTAACAAAGTCAAAGGGAAAAAAACAAAACAAAACAAAACCAAAACCCAATTTCTTCTTATTCCCTTACGAGAAGAAGGTGACGTGGTAAATTCTACTATATTGAAGCAACTGTCAGATTTCTTGGGAGCTGATGATACCAAAGCAATAAAATATCCTTTTGTATCACCCAAGTATATCTTTAAATAAAAAAAACCTTTTTAGTGTTTATTTTTGAGAGAAACAGAGCACAAAAGGGAGTGGGACAGAGAGAGAGAGAGGGAGACACAGGATCTGAAGCAGGCTCCAGGCTCTGAGCTGTCAGCACAGAGCCCGATGGGGGCTTGTACTCACAGACTGTGAGATCATGACCTGAGCCGAAGTCAGATGCATAACTGACTGAGCCATCCAGGTACCCCTAAATATATCTTTTATAAAAAAATTTTTATTATAGGGGCGCCTGGGTGGCTCAGTCGGTTAAGCGTCCGACTTTCGCTTAGGTCGTGATCTCGTGGTTCGTGGGTTTGAGCCCCGTGTCGGGCTCTGTGCTGACTGCCAGCTCAGAGCCTGGAGCCAGTTTCAGAGTCTGTATCTCCCTCTCTCTCTGACCCTCCCCTGCTCACGCTGTCTCTCTCTCTCTCCTAGAAATAAATAAAAAATATTAAAAAAAATTTTATTATAAATATATAACAAAAAATTGCTGCTTTAACCCTATACATAATTGTGTATACAATTCAGTGGTATTAATTAAATGCACAGTTTTGTGCACCATCCCCATTACCTATTTCCTAAACTTTTTCTTCATCTTAAACAGAAAACCTACAACCATTAAGCAGTAACTTTCCATTCTCCCCTCACTCCAGCCTCTGGTGTGGCCTTTATGGAAAACAGTTTGGTATTTCTTCAAAAAGCTAAACAGAATGACCAGATGACCCAGAAATTTCTCTCCTGGGTCTATACACTACCAAGGAATTGAGACACTGTAGACTGTAAAGTCTACTCTACTTTCTGTCTTTATGACTATTCATATAAGTGGAATTGCCTATTCATATAAGTGGAAACCTACAGTAGTTCTGTGTCTGGCTTATCTCATTTCGCAAAATGTTTTCAGGGTCCATCCGTATTGTACTGTGTATTAGGACTCACTCCTTTTGATGGATAAATAATATTCCATTGTATGTTGTATCACGTTTTGTTTGTTCATTTATCTGTTGCCAGACACTTGTGTGGTTCACACACCACTTGGCTATGGTGAACAAGGCCGCAGGGAACACTAGAGTGTAAGCATCTGTTTTGGTGTCTCAATTCCTTAGAGTAGAGACCCAAGAGAGACATTTCTGGGTCACCTGGTCATTCTGTTTAGCTTTTTGAAGAAACACCAAACTGTTTTCCATAAAGGCCATACCATTTTACATTCCCACGAGGGTTCCAATTTCTCCACGTCCTTGCCAATACTTATTTTATTTTGTTGTTGTAAGTGTAGGCATTCTAGTAGGTGTGAACTGGTATTTCACTGGTTTTGATTTAGGTTTCCCTAATGACTAATAACGTGAAGTGTCTTATCATGTACTGATTGGCCATTTGTATATATTTTGAGAAATTCATGTCCATTATTAAATTGTGTTGTCTTACTGAGTTTTAGGGATTATATATTCTGGATATTAAAACCTTACCAGGAATAGGACTTACAAATATGTTCTATTCTTTCGACTGTCATTTCCGTTTCTGGGTAATATCCTTTGACACACAAAAGTCTTTAATTTTGATGAAGTCTAAGCCATCCATTTTTCTCTTTTATTGCTTATGTGCACTAGTCTATTTTCTTTGCTTTTCTCCATGGCTCAATTTTTCCAAGAGTCTATCATTCATCTCTGGTGTCTCCTTTTTTTGGCAACCTATACATTATTTTGAATTTACCTGTGCACATTGCAGGTGATGCCGTGGGCACTGTCTCATCCTGGGTCCATGCAAATCACTGCCTGTATCTCTCACAGATGGGGAACGGTGCTCACAGCATTAACAGAATGATAAACCCAGGGCAACACACCTCAGCTCCTCTTTCTCCTCTTCAGATTTCATTTTTTAAATTTTTATTTATTTATTTTGAGAGAGTGTGTATGCGCACAAGAGTAGGGGAGGAGAAGAGATGGGGAGAAAGAGAATCCCAAGCAGACTAGATGCTGTCAGCTTAGAGTCTGACATGGGGCTCGGTCTCACAAACCCTGAAATCATGACCTGAGCTGAAATAAAAAATCAGATGCTTAAGGGACTGTGCCACCCAGGCAATCTTGGAGTTTCATTTTAAAAATAAGATACTTTTAGTGTTGCTCATTACTAGGCAAGGGAAAAAGCATGAGATTCTTTTTATTAGATGCAAATAATTTTAATTTGCCATTTACATAGGCACTATCGAAGCCAACATTCCTGTTCACCAGTGCCCTTGGAAATATGTGAACCTGCAGGTCAGATAACTGATACAGAGAAAGGACTCAATTACTCTAGCTTCATCCAATAGGATTTAGAATAGAATATTAAAAAAAAAAAAGCCTCCTCTACATTTTTAACACTTCGAATTTTCTTATGAAATATAACTATCAGAAGATGGCAGCTTTTAAATATTCCCATTAAATTAGGGCGCCTGGGTGGCTCAGTCAGTTGAGCATCTGACTTTTGATTTTGGCTCAGGTCATGATCTCACATTTTGTGAGATCGAGCACAGTATTGGGCTCCACACTCAGCATGGAGCCAGCCTGGGATTCTCTCTCTCTCCCTCTCTCTCTGCCCCTCCCCTGCTCATGGTCACATACACTCTCTCTCAAAATAAATAAATAAACTTAAAAAAATCCCATTAAAAAAACTACTTCCACGATTTAGTATCCCCATTTATAAGAAGCAAAACTAAACCCATGGACAATAAATAAAATTAGGTGACAAATGCTCATGAACCTCAAAATATAAGCAAGTTTGGAGGACAGAATCACATGTCATGCACCGCTATAAGGGGTACAGCCAGTGAGGTCCACATGGAAAATTGGACCGCACTTCTTTAACAAATGAATTGCCAAGGAGTGAAAAAGAGTTGAAGAGGAAAATCTAGAGATTGAAAAGGATTTAAGAGACATGTAGTGTGGATCTTTTGTGAATCCTGAAAATTAACTGACATAAGAAAATAGGAAATGGTAACACTGACTGGATAGTCACTATTAAAGAATTATTATTTGTAGGTGTGATCATGGAATTATGGAATTAATGGCTATGTTTGTTATCTTTAAAGAACACATACTGAAACATTTTCAGATGAAATGCTATAGTGATTTGATCTAAAACAGAGGAAATGGAGGGAACAGAGTGAGGGTGTGTGTGTATAAATATATAGTAGTTTAAGCTGGATGTTGGGTACATGAAGGTTCATTATACCATTCTGTCTAGTTTTATCCATCCCTGAAATTTCCATAGGCAAAGGAAAAAAAAAAAAAAGGAAATTATTTGCTAACAATTTTAATACTAACTTAGAGCCTTTGCTTTAATTTTTTTCTGATCTAGCAATATGTTATATTTAATTATAACCTTAAAGGCCTAATGAGGGGCGCCTGGGTGGCTCAGTCGGTTAAGCATCTGACTTTGGCTCAGGTCATGATCTTGCGGTCTATGGGTTCGAGCCCTGCATTGGGCTCTGTGCTGACAGCTCAGAGCCTGGAGCCTGTTTGAGATTCTGTGTCTCCCTCTCTCTCTGCCCCTCCCCAGCTCGTTCTCTGTCTCTCTCTGTCTCAAAAATAAAATAAAAGGTTAAAAAAAAAAAAAGGCCTGATGAATTGATAATGTGGAAAACTTTAGATAGGTGTTTGGTGGAACCTTATCCACAAAAAGATGGGCTGCCTAGAAGACACAATGGATTAACGATTTGCACAGATGGAAAAGGGGTTCCTGGCAATAATCCTACACAAATCATTTACAATGGTGGTAAAGACTGTGTTATAAACAACGTTAGCTTCTGTTTATAATTGTCTGGGCAGGAGGCTTAAGAGGCTAAGTAAAAATTATTCTTAACTAATCATTAAATGAAACCTCTATCAGGCAACATCCAGCCTATTTCTAGTATTTTCATTGTTCTCTCCATTAGCTATTTTTCCTTCTGGTTCTTCCTTAAAACTATTCTAAATTAGTGAGGTTTTATTGTTTATAATCCCTATGGAAGACTGTAAATCCTCTTGCTACTCTCATAAGTGAATTTATAATAGAAAAAGAAAACAAAAATTAAAAACAAATAAAAAAGCAAATTAAATAAAACCTCCCCCCAAAAGTCCTCTGCAAGGGTTTGAAACAACCTGTGGTGGATATTAGACCTCTTGAAGGATATAATTTCTATTTCTGGATCTAGAACAGGACAGGGTCGATGGGCTCAGGAGACAACAGCATGAGCATGAGTTAACCCATCTGAAAATGTTCCCAAGTTACTAGACTGAACTCTAATCCACAGGAAATTACATGGGAACTAATTTGAAACACATTCTTAGAAATTATTCTTTTAATGAGCCTTGAGTTCCACCAGCCACAAATAGATTCCCTTTTCAGTAGTGGCTTAATTTCCCCAGTCTCTAACTAAATAGTCCTGCAGGAAGTAATTATATAATGATTGTGTTTCCTAGAAGGTATTAAAGACAATTACCAGCCAATTTAAGTACCAATGCAACCACATTCCAATTTGCTAAATTATAGAGAATTCAGAGTTAGAAACTATAGTTAGTGGAATCTGCAGATTTCCACTGAGTTTCGATGGAAACTGAAAAGGATGGGTTTGGAGATCTTGTCTTGGAGACAAGACATCAAGTGACGTTTTTAAAAAGTTCCTGGAAACCGTAGGTAGCCTTGTTCTATTAGAATTAAAAATAACTGCAACATAAAAGGATGATCATTCTTATGATCTATAAGTTACTGAACTCACGGCTTAAGCTTCTGGGAACATGAACAAGCAAATAACCTAGTTCAGTCCAGTCAACTAACTTACCAGTGTCGTCATCAAAATCAGACAGGACTGACTCAATTCCATCCTCACTGCTCGCCGACTGCTCCTGAAGTCTTCGGGGCAAGCTAGCGAGTCTCCCGCTAAGGAATATTGGCTTCAATGGCATTTTGTAGATTTTGGCCAGTAACTAAATAACAAAATATCAAACTGCAATTACATATTGGAAAAAGCTGCACTCTGGGTGTTAAAGAAGGGTAACATTATATAACAGCAACATTCATGTCAGGGAAAACCAGAAAAGCTCTCAACGTATGAACGTTCTAAGGTTGGTTGTGATTTGGATTTAAACGGTAGCTCAGGAGAAGCATCTATCTCACAGAGGAGGTGAAACAGCATTCAGTGAAAATAAAAACGTGGGGAAAAAGACTCTAGGGCTACTTTCTCAGCATCTCAACTGCCTATGAATTTTATAGGCTTTTATAAACCTTCCCAGGGAACCACAAAACATGTCAAGAGTTTTGCCTATGGGGGAGTGCTCTGTGGGGATCACTCAGGAGAGAGTCTACAGGCAAATGGGATACCAGACTCTGATTTCCCCTTCCCTTGACACCAGGGCACCAAGGCCAACAGTAAGTGGCGGAATGAAGGACTATGTCGGCCAGGTGCAAGAGATGAAGATACTGGAAGCAGAGCTGACACATGGCCGCGGGTTCCTCATTCCTCTCTCACTGCTGGAGCCCATCACCCAGGAATCCTCATTCCTGGGCCAAACTGCCGCAGATCCTCATGAACTAGAATTGTACCTGCTGAACTTGTCCGGCTCCAGAAACCAGGAAAACAGCTGTGAGCGAGACAGACAAAATTCCTGTCCTGGGGGTCTTAACAATGATAAATACAATTTCAGACCTAAAGGCTACGGAAACAATTACGTGACATGAGAGGGACCGGGGTATGTAGGAATGTTGGCAGGGGGTTGGTAGGTAGCTCTGGTCTCTCTGAGGAGGTGATGGTCCTGATGAGATCAAGAGAAAAAGCGCCCCACAGAGATCCAGGGAGGGAAAATTCCAGACAGAGGGGACGGCAATGGCCTTGAGCGGTAAGGCACTGTGTATCTGAGGGGTAAAAAGACTGTGGCTGGAGCACAGAGTGAGAAGGCAAGATCTGAAGGTGTAAAGGCAGCTGAGGTTCTGTCATGAGTGGGCCTGGTGGAGGCAGCTGGGGGACGCGGCTGGGGCTGGGTATCCCTTCTAAAGCCCTGGGGCTTTACACTATCACTGCTATCACCATGGGAGAGGTTCCCCAGACCAGAAGCGGCCTGGGGACACAACCTGCAAAGACAGGACTACAACTACCGAGAGGGGAGAGAAGGTATCACTGAAGCCTGGGGGAGAAAGGGCTTCAGCAGGGAGCATCCTCTGGTCCACCGGCATTTGACATGGGTGAGGGCAGTTACTGGATTTAGCAAAATGAAGGTGGCTGTTCTCCTTGATAAGTGCTGTTCCATGGGGATTTCTTCACTAGATCTTGCCTGATTGCATTCGTCTTTTGTTTTTGTCTCCTTGCGTTGGCTGCATCCCCACCATCCACGTTCTGGTTCTATCATGAGGACTTCCCACGACCTCATGACCCCTTTCCTTACAGCCTGACACAAATATAGAGATTATGACAGTTCTGAGTACAAGTGAGAAGTTTCAGAGATTTCAATTCAGTTGTGTGTTCTAGTATATTTCCAATTACTTTCTTTCTTTTTTTCCTTCCTGGAAGGGGTGGGGACAAAAGTTTATACTAGAATGCAGGCGAGCGCGCCCCGTACCTGAGAGCAGCGCCTGAGGTAATCCAGGGCAGGCAGGCACAGGTCTGGGGACGTGGCTCCTGGTCCTGGGACACAGTCTCCTATTTCTTTACAGTCAACCTCCCCTGGTGGACAGAGACAGACAAAATTACTCTGGCGTTCCCCCTTCAACAGAAGACCTATTCAGTCACACAGCCTTCGTTCACTAAACGTCTACTAAAATAGAAGAAAAAGTTACCCCAAACTCCACGACTCCTTAGACAATCATTTTTCTCCTCTGAATGTGTCATGTTAAATACGGTTGGGGTCACAGCGTGCATCTTATTTTGTTGGGATTATCCCGTTTTGTAGCTCTCCTTTTCACTAAACCATGAACACTTCTTCTGAGTTCTACCATGATACCCAGAGTGGCCGGACGGTGTTTTGTACCTGGACACTCTGTAACTCACTTCTCTGTGCCCTCGGTGTCTTTGAAACTTGATGATTAAGGACCCTCCTGGCGACAAGCCACGTGTTGGGCTGGAATGAAGTATGGGCCTCTCTCTGTTTGGAAAAGAACCCATCTGCTGCTGGTGCCTGGCACTAAATAGAGATGATAAATAAAGTCCCTGAGATGATCTAACATCTGGGGCTTGGCAACAGAGACTACTGAATTGAGTTGGAATGATTTCTATTTTTTTTTTTGTGGTGTATATCTAGAGATTTCACAGATCTGTAGAGGGCATCTAGATTTTCTGTAGGTAAATACTAGTTGAGGATTATCATTCTTCTCATGTAACGACTCTATTCCCCTACTTTTAATAAAATCATTCCACAGTACTGTAATTGTATCCAATTGTCTACAATTGTAGCAACTAGCGCCCTCCCCTGGGGGTAAACAGACCTAATTACTAGGCATTAGTTAAAATTCAGACCAAGAGGCAGGTTTCTCCTTAAAAAAGAAAAGATAAACATTTGTATTTTAGATCAAGGATCAGGTTAGACAGTAAATACTTTAAGCTTTGCGGGTCATCTTGTTTTTGTTACGATTTCTCAAATCTACTGTTGTAGCACAAAAATAGCTATAGACAAATGACCATGGCTGTGTTCCCATAAACTTTATTTATAAAAACTATTGATGGGTTGGATCTGGGCTGCAGGCCATTGTTTGCCAACCCCTGGTTTGGATTAACACACTTCACAATATAAAAACACAGAACAGATCAAATTCGTGTTGAATAAGCCAAGTGGGAATTAAAAATACGTTCATTTCTTAGCGTGTTGCTCACAGTTTTGAGTGTCCCAAAGGTTTTTTTTGTTTTTGTTTTTTTTAACCGTGGCTGCTGTGTAACACAACAAAGTCTATGCAAATGGCGCCCCCTGGAGTCCTGGGCAGTCCACAGCCAGCATCGCTGTCCTGGAGGCTCCTGAGTTCCCCCAGACTCCATGCCCCATACAAATAACTCCACCTTGTAACTTATAGGAAAAACCATCCTCCTTGCACATACCGGTAATTCTGCATCTCCATTTGCTGCCCTTATCTCCCTCCTTAAGAGAAAATCTCAAATTTGTAACATGCTGTTAGGCATCTCCCCTGGAATGGAGTTACACAGAAATTCAACATGTCCACATGTCATTACTTTCTCCTCTCCTCCACACCTAACCCGCTGGGTAGCACCAGTCTTTGTATGGAATGTGGGAATGGGAGCCATCCTCAGTTACTCCTCCCCAACCCCCCATTCCAGGTGGGGGCCCTGCAGACCCCACCTCTACCATGAGCTAGAGCCAATTGCATCCTCTCTACACTCTGCCTGCCTATAGCTTCTCGTCCCCACATATGGGGACATGTGCCTGCCAGAGTTTAGTTTCTAACATTGTGTGTGATTGTACTACTCTTTACTTAATAATAACCTTCCTCGCACGTTCTGGATTCCTTGATGTGGCACACAGAGCCCTTCACAACTGCCCCCTTCCTTTCTTTCCAACTCGTCACCCACCGTCCCTCTTATGTGGAATCCCTCCAATGTACTCTGTTTCTAGAAAAATAAACCTATGGCTTACTCTACCAAGTTCAAATGTCACTTCCTCTTTGAAGTTTGCCCCTAGACCCCACTACCAAACATCTATTGCAGCTGCTTGTTATTTCAGCTTAAATGTCCTTTTTTCCCTTACTAGCCTCCATGAAGATATTCATCCTACTGAATTGTAACTATCGATTTATATGTGTTTCCTAGAAGAGCCGTGAGGCTCTCACAGGCAGGAACCTCTAACATGTTTTATTCATCTTCATATCTTCATATAGATGTGCCCACATAGGAGGCGCTCAACTGTTCACTGAATAGCAGTCATTATTATGACTCTTCAATGAACTATAAAACTGCAAACTAATAGCAAACATATATACTGGCCTCTGCTCCCAGTTCCTGGCACGTAGCTACTAAAACCCTTGTAATTTCCCAAGTGATAACAGTACGAGAAGCATCTTTTGTTCTAATATTTGGTCTCTGACTCTGATTCCTGACACAGAGCTCCCACATCCTTGGAATTTCCTGGATGAAAGGAATATCTATTGTTCTAACCGAGGCAACACCCGGTGGGCTACTGGATGTGGACTGTTCACCAGAAAGACCAAGCCATGATTAGAACCTCCCCTTCCTAACTCCTAAACAGAGTTAAAGACCTATCATGCCTACATGATGGAGCCCCCAAAGTATGGGGTTCAGATATCTTCTGGGTTGGCTATATGCTGGGAGGGTGGGACACCTCAACTCCATGAGGACAGAAGCTCCTGTGTTTGGGACCCTCATGAATCTTGCCCTATGTATCTCTTTGTCTGGCTGTTCATCTGTATCCTTCACTTTATCTTTCATGATATAATAAACTGGTAAACAAGTTGCCCTGAGTTCTGTGAATTATTCTAACAAATAACCAAATCCAAGGGGCAGGGGTTACGGAAACCTCACATTTGTAGCCAAGTCAGACTTGTGGGTAACCTGGGGACCTACTTGTGCTTGGTGTGTGATGTGGGGGGCAGTCTTGTGGGACTGAGCCCCTAACCTGTGGAGTCTGAGCCAACTCCAGGTAGTGCAAAAATTGAACTGAATTGTAGGACACTCAGCTGGTGTCGCAGAATACTGCATGGTGTGAGAACTGCCCTCTCCCCCCATCCAGTATTGTGAGTGTGGTAGACATAAGATAACAAAGAAGACACACAGGAGTGAGTTTTCCCCAAGCAAAACCTGAATTTTCTACGACCTAATACAAAGATTCAAATTGAAGTTCTTATGATTAAGATTATTTGGTTTCTATTTAACATACACCAGAATTAAAAAAATGATATAAAGGGGCGCCTGGGTGGCTTAGTCGGTTAAGCGTCCGACTTTCGCTTGGGTCATGATCTCGCGGTTCGTGGGTTCAAGCCCCGCGTCGGGCTCTGTGCTGACTGCCAGCTCAGAGCCTGGAGCCTGTTTCAGTCTGTGACTCCCTCTCTCTCTGACCCTCCCCTGCTCACGCTGTCTCTCTCTCTCTCTCCTAGAAATAAATAAAACATTAAAAAAAATGATATAAAATCTTATGCTGTAGTTCAAAAGAAATCTTCCTCTGAAGCCCAATCAAGAAGCAAGTGGCTGCCATCATTACCCTTCCGCTCAGTCCTCTATTTCCCAGGGTGGATGTAATCATAGACTAAGGCATATATGATAAATAATAGACTACAACAACAATGGTCTACAGATCAGACTTGTTGCCTTCAGGCTCTATCCTGAAACTTGCATTTGGTTCCTGTCCCCTCAAAAAAGGGAGCGTGAGTGAAGTCACCTAGTTTCTTGGTGTCCGGTTTTCTTTTGCAAACAAATTGTCAATTATTTAGCAAAAATTGAAAAAAAATATCATGAACTTTATATTGTCCTTAGCCTCCAGGCCTCAGAGCACTCCATGGTGAAGTTCTCAAACCTTTAAGGTTTAAGGTCCTTCTAAAATTGCTGGTTTAACTAACTGCCTCTCTTCCATTTCATCCCTGATAAACTTGTGCTATATACAAATCTGCAACAGTGGGTTATGTCATACAGCAGGACTCCCCTTTGTTAAAGTATTGCTAAATTAAGCAGAAAATCAGCTTAGCAGACTCTGACACACACAAAGTCTCAAAGAAGGGGGACTTTCACACTCCAAAGAAATTTTATGATTAATAAGGCCCAGGGGAAGGCATTCTTAATTTTTCTTAGGAGGATCTGGGAACTCAAGCTCAGGCTGCTAATGATGTGATATCGAAGACCGTATTCCTGCATAAGGGCAGTTACTGAATATAGTACTGAATATTTTAAGATTCAAAAAGAAGCTGGAGTAAAATAACATGTACATTGAAAACACGCTACAAGAGTATTTCGTGAACATGGTGAAAAATAGCAACCCTGGCCGGAATCCAAGCTGCTTTTACAGTAAGCTTTCTGCTCCTGGGAACACAACACACCACCATCTGCGCACAGCCCAGGCTGCTGGCTCACTCCAGGCAGTCAGTCGCCTGTCTCCAGGGCTTTCCACACACAGTGCTCCAGGACAGGGTCCCCAACTGTCACGAGGCATGGAAAGGAGACCCCACTTACCCAGTCCTTTGACAAACTTCATAAGGCACATGATATAACTTGTGGCTGCATTAGCGAAGACCTGGATGTTGTCGGTGTTGAGAAAAGCTTCAAATACATCAAACACTGGGGCTTGGCCTTTTCCTGAGGGAAGAAGGTTGAAGACTTGTAAGAACATTAAGTCTCTACCATTCAGGTTGTCCATACTCTCAGCACCTTCCATGGGGTCTTGGGAAAGACCTATTGGAGGATATCCCTGACCTCTTGATGGTACACACGGTGCAACTCCAGTACCGTCTTTCTCAGCTTTGCCTGCAGGGGGTGCTGCAGAAAGCCTACAAATACGAAGAGCCCAGCAGAGAGATGAGGGCAAAGCCAGCTGAATGCAGGGCTGAGGCAATGTATGGGTCCATGGGGTGGTGAAACAGGCAGGCCTCTGGGATTCTCCTGCACACATAATTATAGGGGAGGGAAGGTTTAGAAAGGCCCTGATGGCATATTCTAATTGATGCATAACTGTGCATTAAAGAGTTCACCGGCTCGAGATCGCTATGCTTAGAAGGCCTGCTTTACAAGACTGCCCTTGACTGGCATCTGGGAACTTGGCTCTCAGGATATTCCCAGGCAACAGTTAATGGATTAAGGGTGGTTCAAGGTGCCTAGACTGTGCAAACAACATGGTTTATTCTGAATACTTGCTTTCCTTTGGGGAGTCTGGGATTTGGGGAGGTGCTAGGTAGAGGGTACATATGTGGCCAGCTCTTAGCTGGGTCTCTAGTGGGCTTTGTTGGGAAGAAACATCATACTCATGTTGCTGAATTTTCACTGCAGGGGAAGAGTATGCTCTGTGGGACCCTCATGGGAGGGCAGAGAGCACATGGAAGCCTGCACAGGGATTTCCCCCGATTCTCTGTTTTTTTGCCCTGATAATCTGGCCTGTCCTTAGTATGCTGCCATGATAAATCTTAGCTGAGAGCCATGTAATAAATTTGATCCAGGCAATAAGGCTTCGTGTAACTATACACCGAGTCCCGTGAGCCCTCCAGTCTGTCTCTGAATGTATCAGTAGTCTGGGGACCACTCACTGACAGGATACCCATGGTTGTTGGGCATGCTTTATGGGCCCCCAAACCCAATTTCTGTAAATGGGATTCTATTAGCTTTCCTGCTTCTTTGTAGGAAGTGAATAATGGTTTTCTTTTTAGCTTCAGGAATGAACACAACACAGATATGTATAACTGAAACAACAGAAGTGTCAGCCTCTCGTCTAATCTGTCCAGAAGAGCAGGGCCTGATTAATGCTTGGGGTTCTTGGCCTGCTAACAGAACTCAGAATGCATGTCCCTGCTCTACCGGATTGTTTCTGCCAGAAAAACATGGCTGAATGGCAGTTTTCCCTATTGATCAGTTTCTTTAGATAGCGTGAACACTGGCATCAAGAACTAACGCTTTATAACAGGAATCATCTACATATTCTTCCTTCTCACCACCCTTATTTAACATAGTACTGGAAATGCTACCCAGAGCAACTAGGCAGGAAAAAAATAAAATGCATCCAAATCAGAAAGGAAGACGTAAAATTGCCTGTTTGTAGATTACATGGTATATTGTATTTAGAAAATCCTAAAGACTCCACCCAAAGCTTTCTAACTAATAAATGCATTCAGTAAAGTTTCAGCATACAAGATGAACCCACGGTCTTACCCATGGAATAATCACCAACCAGATACTCCTTCACCTCAGACTTGTTCCCACTGTGCACCGTTTCCAGGGCACTGAACAAGGGCCTCCATCCCGACTGGATTTGGGTGGAACACACTTCAACCAGCTCGCCGATAGATGTGACAACCTGGCAGAGGCAAAGGAGGTGGCACTTAAAACTTTCTCCTTAAAAGCAGCAGGAGAATTTCTGGAAAGGGGGGGATACACTTCTCTGGCCCCTGTTTCTGGGTTAATTTCAGTGAAAAAGAAAAACCAGAATTCAGCCAAACCCACTCAAAAATCTCCTCCATTAGCAGCCACATTGCATTAATTAATCCGCATTTGGCTAATGACTTACATTGTTGAGCAACTGTTCACGTGCCTATTAGCCATCCATAAATGGTTTGGTGTTTTTTTTTTTTTTTTAATTGGGTTTTTGTCTTCTCATTATTGTCTTTTTATTAATTAGAGTCCTTTATGTATTCTAGATTCAGGTCTTCCCTGGGACACCTGGATGGCTCAGTCAGTTGAGCGTTCAACTTTGGCTCAGGTCATGAGCCAAACTCACGTTTGTGAGTTTGAGCCCTGTGTTGGTCTCTGTGCTGACAGCTCAAAGCCTGGAGGTTGCTTCAGATTCTGTTCTCCCTCCCTCTCTGTTACCTCCCCACTCCGCCGGCTCACGCTCTGTCTCTCTCCCCCTCTCAAAAATAAATACACATTAGAAAAAGACTATTTATAGATTCAGGTCTTTCCTGAGATATAGGATTTACACATTTTTAAAAATAGCTTTGGCCTTGTCTTTTTATTTTTTAATGGTGTCTTTTCAAGAACAAATTTTGAATTTTAATGAAACCCAAGTCATCAGTTTCTCTTTTTATGGATCGTGTTGGTGTCGTTTCTTTTTTAAAATTTTTAAGAAAATGTTTATTTTTGAGGGAGAGAGAGAGAGAGAGAGAGAGAGAGAATAAGCAGGGAAGAAGCAGAGAGAGAGGGGGAGAGAGAGAATCCCAAACAGGCTCCACACTGTCATTGCAAAGCCCGATGTGGGGCTTGAACTCACAAACTGTGAGATCATGACCTAAGCCTAAGTTGGGTGCTCAACCAACTGAACCATGAGGTGCCTTCATGTTGGTGTCATTTCTAAGAAATCTTTGCCTAACTCAAGGTCCCAAAGATTGTTAATAGTAATATTCATATTAGCATTCATTTCGCCTGACATTAATATAGCTACCCCAACTCTTTCATGGTTACTATTTGCATGGCATATCAATACTCTTACCTTCAATCTATTTGTGCCTTTGAATCTAAAATCTGTCTCTTGCAGACTGCATATTATATCTTATTGCTCTGTCCAGTCTTATAATCTCTGCCTTCTGATACTTTTAGTCAATTGATGTTTTCTAATATCTTTGAGACATAAATCACATACTGTAAGATTGCCCCATTATACTGTACATTTTTTTTTTAGCATATTCACAGAGCTGTACCACCATCAGTAATCTAATTTTAGAATGTTTTCATTACCTGCCTGTGTCCACCAAAGGCAGCAAGTGTGGGCAGTCATCCCCTCCACCCAACCCTGCCCTCCACCCCAGGCAATCCTTAACCTGTTTATTGATGTGCTTTTTATTGATGGACATTTTACATAAATGCAATCATATAAAATGTGATCCTCTGTGACTGGCCTTTTTCATTTAGCATAATGTTTGCAAGGTTCATCCACGTTGTAGCACAAATCAGAACTGATTTTTTTTAACTGCCAAATAACATTTTATTGTATGGAAATAGCACATTTATCCATTTATCAGCAGATGGAATTTAGGTTGTTTCCAACTCTCTGGCTATTAATAATAACATTAATATGCATGCTTGTGTCTAGGTTTAGACTGATATATATTTAAATTTTTCTTGGTTATTTACCTTTTGCAGAACTGCCAGACTATTTCCCATGGCGGTGCATTTAACCTTTCTGTCAGTAGCATATGGGAATTCTGACTTCTCCACATTCTCATCAAAACTTAGTATCTTTTATATTGAAGTCATTCTGGTGGGTCTGAAGCGATATCCCACTGTGGTTTTGATTTGCATTTCCTTAATGACTAATGACATTGAGCATCTTTATGCCAATACATATTTAATGCTATTATTAATATGGTCTTATTTACATCTGCCACTTTATTATGTTTTCCACATATAATGTGGTTTTTGTTCCTCTATTCCTCCTTTACTGCCTTCTTTTGTGTTAAACATGTTTTTAGTGTATAATTTTAATTCTTTTATCTATTTTTAAATTATTATTTGTATTATTCCCTTGGCTCTTGCCCTAGGGATAATATACATCTTTAATTTATCACAATATTCTTCAAGTTAATACTGACTTAATTCTGGCAAAATATAGCAAGTTTGCTTCTAAACAGTTTCACTTTCTCCCCCTTCATTCTGTTATGGTTATTTATATATTCATAGCTAATAAATCCAAAAATACAGTGTTGGAGCTAGTGCTCTTAAGTTTATAAAACAAAAAGAGAAAGAAATAAATACAATCTTTTTATATAACTCACATCAGATACTGTTTCTATTTGTGAAATTGATTTACTATCTTGTGTTATCTCCTTTTAGTCTGAAGGAATTCCTTTAGTATTTTTTTAAATGTTTTATTTATTTTTTGAGAGAAAGAGAGCACAAGCAATGGAGGGGCAGAGAGAGAGGGAGACAGGGAATCCAAAGTGGGCTCTGTGTTGACAGCAGTACGCCTGATGTGGGGCTCGAACTCGTGAATCATGAGATCATAACCTGAGCTGATGTTGGACATTTAGCTGAGTCACCCTTAGTATTTCTTATGGAATAGATCTGTTGGCAAGAAATTCTCTTGATTTTTGTTTATCTGAGAATGCTTTTACTTCATCTTCATCTTTGAAGGGTAATTACTCTAAATTATTCATTGACCATTTTTTTTTCCCTTTTAGCATTTTCAAAATGTCATTGCATTATCTTCTGACCTTAACTCTCTCTGGAAAAGTAGCAATTAATCCTATTGTGGTAATCCTATTTTTCTCTTGCTGCTCTGGAGGTTTTGTCTTTGAGCAACTTGACTATAATGTATCTACTGTGGATATCTTTGTGTTGATGCTAATTGGGGTTTATTTTTCTAAATATATCTTCTCACCTCTTGTGTTTCTCATCTTTCTCTGAACTCCCGTTATACATAAGCTTGATATTTTCCCACAGGTCTTTAAGGTTTTATTTCTGGTCAAACAATCCTCTCCAATCTTTAGAATGGATAATTTCTACTATCTGCCATCTCAAACCTTGCTAGTAAGACTATCTATTACAGTGTGTGCTTTTTTCAGCTCTAGAATTTGCATTTTCTCATAGTTTCCATTTTTTAATTAGACTACTTGTGAGTTATTGTCATATTTCCCGTTAATTCTTTGAACATATTTATAATTGCTGTTCTAAAGACTGTCCCTCACCTCCAACATCTGGACTCATTCTAAGTCACTTTCTATATTTTTGCCTCCCCTCTCAATGTGTCACGCTTTCTGGTCTCTTTGCATGTTTCTTTTTTTCTTTTTTTCCTGTAACTTGACATTTTATATAATAGAGTGTAGCAAAGCTGAATTCTGACTAATTTTTCTAAGTTTTTTTTTTTTTTTTAAATAAAGGGCCAGACTTATACTATGCAATCAGTCTCTTTCCATGTGTGAAGAGCCAATGTCTCTGGCTCAGTTTCTTTGTATGTCTTAGCCTTACTATATAGTAGCCATCCCCATGCCTGCATAGGCTAGTCGTCAGCTGATGATGCAGGAAAAAGTTGTGCTCAGATAACTTGAGCCTTTAAGGCTCCTGTCCTCTTCAACCAACCCATGTGTGCAGGTTGGGGAAAATAGTCCAACGTTGGCCAGTTCTCAAGTTTCCCTTGTTTTATACTTTCTGATGGATTTGTAGGGTATATGTTGAATATACCCATGTTTCAGTCAGCCAGAGGTGTGCAAGGAACTTATCTAGTCTCTCTATTAAGTTTCCGGTTTCCAGCGAAACCATTTCATACATTTTTCATTTTTTTAACGTTTATTTATTTTTGAGAGACAGAGAGAGACAGAACATGAGTGGGGAAGGGGTAGAGAGAGAGGGAGACATAGAATCTGAAGCAGGCTCCAGGCTCTGAGCTGTCAGCACAGAGTCTGATGCAGGGCTTGAACTCCTGAACCGCTAGATCATGACCTGAGCTGAAGCTGGATGCTTAACCTACTGAGCCATCCAAGAGCCCCCAAGATTCTTGTTACATGTCTTACTGGTTCATGCTCACTGCAACCGTAGGCTAGCAAAGTTGTGGGTTTCTCGTGTTCACCTCCTAATGAACTCACCACTTTTAGGTGCCAAACCAATGGTCTTCATCTTCTTTAAACCAAGTCCATCTCTTAAAGGAGAAAAACTGCTGATTTTCCAAGTTAGCTCCAGACTGGTCAAACCACTATTCTTGACAATATCTTGAGAGCAAGGGTGATGTCTTTGCCAAAAGGTCAGATTCTTCTACTGTTCTTTTTTTTTTTTTTTAATTTTTAATGTTTATTTATTTTTGAGAGATGGAGACAGAGCATGAGAGGGGAAGAGACAGAGAGAGGGAGACACAGAATCTGAAGCAGCCTCCAGGCTCCAAGCTGTCAGCACAGAGCCCGATGCTGGGCATGAACCCACGAACTGCAAGATCATGACCTGAGCTCAAGTCGGAAGCTTAACCAACTGCGCCACCCAGGCGCCCCAAGACTTCCACTCTTCTTAACCAAAGTTCTGGCAAGAAGTATTTCTAAGCATAAATGCTACTCAGTTTGTCGTCTGTCCTTGATCAATCTCCAGAAACCTGAGATTGTTGCTTTTGACAACTTTGTCCTATTTTATACTTGATTTTTATGAGGAAGATCCATTAACTTTTTCATGCCATCATGTCTTAAATCTTTCTGAACATATTTAAGCATCGTTATTTTAAAGTCTGTCTCTGACAATTCTGGGGTCTGGATCCCTGGCTGGCGTGTGTGTGTGCACGCGCATGCACACACTCATGCATGCGTGTCTATTTTTATTGTGTTTTTATTTTATTTTTGTTTTCAATGACATGTTATTTCCTAATGAGCCTGATTATTTTTTATTGAACGTAGACATTGCACATGCAAATCAAGACATAGTTTGAATCCCTGGGATGATATCATCTTCTAGAAGAGAGATGTTCTGCACTGTGGCAAGTACTAGAACTCTCAGTCATTCATCTCATGTTAGGGATTGGTATGATTTCCTCTTATGACCGGTCTGTTTCAGTTTTACTCTTCTACCTAATATGTCCCTTTCTCTTTATGATTCTGCTCCTAGAGGTCAGTGCTTCATTAAAGACTCTAATTTTGCTTAATTTCTCAATCTTTTAGCTTCCTCTTCTGAAATCAGTGGATTCCATTTCAGGAAAAGTAGCCTCAAGCACCAGTCACAGACTCTGGGCATTCTTTTTCTCCTAGATATTGACCTCATAGTTATTCACTGCTTTGCTGTATTCCAAAGCCTTCCAGTGATTGAAAAAAAAAACACATTTTTTTAAATCCAACTTTTTTCGGTTGTTCCCTGTGGGAAGTAGATCTGAACTACTTAGTTCACTATTATTGAAACCCCCCAATTTAGAGTATAGGTATTAACCTGTATTTTCCTTACTTTCATTCCCTTAAACTTAGTAGATGTTCTTATTTAATATTTTGAGGGCAGGATGACAAAATTTCAAATGTCTTTAGTCCTGATGGTGCCACCTGTTGCTTCACGGTTCCCTCTGACTACCGCCCTGTTCCCCTGTGTGTTTTGTGATATTTTGTAAATGCTGTGAACTCACAGATCCTGGCATGTGGGATTCTTTTGTGGCCCGAGTTGAAATGAGCTCCTCTGGGGGAATTTCTATTGCTTTTGTATTGTGCCTATGTAGAGCTGCTTAGCTCTACCAAGGTGGTATAATTTCATAGGCTGACTCTATACAAAGGCTAGCTTTTAATTTTAAATCTTACAGAGTCGTTTTTTTTTTTTTTTCTTTATCTCTATCAAGAGCAAATGTTAGGGGCGCCTGGGTGCCTCAGTCGGTTGAGCATCTGGCTTTGGCTCAGGTCATGATCTCATGGTCTGTGAGTTTGCGCCCTGCATGCGGATCTGTGCTGACAGCTCAGAGCCTGGAGCCTGCTTCACATTCTGTGTCTCCCTCTCTCTCTATCCCTTCTCCACTCATGCTGTCTGTCTCTCTCTCAAAAATAAATAAACATTAAAAAATTAAAAAAAAAAATGTTAGAGAGAGGCTGCGAGTACCCTCAGGAACAGTGGTACTTGGGTTCATTACTAATTCAACTTTGGCCTGAGTAAACCCCAGTTTTATAAGGTTTGCATTGAGATCTGTCTCCCATACAATGCAATATTACTTGGCAATGAGAAAGAATGAAGTCGTGGCATTTGTAACAACATGGATATAACTGGGGGTATTATGCTAAGTGAAATAAGTCAGGCAGAGAAAGACAGATATCCTATGTTTTTGCTCATATGCGGAGTTTGAGAAACTTAACAAGAAGACCATGGGGGAAGGGAAGGGGAAAAAAAGTTTCAGGCATAGAGGGAGGCAAACCATAAGAGATTCTTAAATACAGAGGACAAACTGAGAGTTGATGGGGGGGGGGGGTTGGGGAGAGGGGAAAATGGGTGATGGGCCTTGAGGAGGGCACTTGTTGGTATGAGCACTGGGTGCTTTATGTAAGTGATGAATCACGGGAATCTATTCCTGGAGCCAAGAGCACACTGTATACAGGGTATGCTAGCTAACTTGACAATTAATTACATTTTTAAAAAATGAAAAAGGACTGTTAAATAATTAAAACAAAACAAAACAAAACAAAACAATGTGAGTTCAAGCCTGCATTGGGCTCTGTGCTGACAGTCAGAGCCTGAAGCATCCTTCAGATTCTGTCTCCCCCTCTCTCTGCCCCTCCCCTGCTCCTGTTCTGTCTCTGTCTCTCAATAATAAATAAAAACATCAAAAAATAAAAGAAAAAAAAAACAATGTGAGAAGCAGAAACTCAGCTTTACCTGATGGCAAATTCCCTCATGGCAAAACCAGTCTTAGAGCTCTGCTTAGCTCTCTGGTTTCCTATTGTTACTTAGTTAATGACATCTTCATATTCTTTACTTTCTTGGCTGAAAGTGTCAATATATTTAAAAGGGATTTATAAACCCTTATTTAACTTTGTTGGGAGGTTTCCGAGAGTGGATCTGTGTTTCTGGCCCACCATCAGGCTAGACATGAGGTGTCCAGAGGGTACTGTAGTGATGAAGGGCACAGGAGAGGTATATAAAGTACAGGCGGGTGTAGCCAGATTGCTTCATTTCAAACCCCAGCTCCCCCAATCACTAACCATGTATCTAACTAGCTAAACTGCTTAACCCCCGTCACAGATTCCTGAAAGGATTATGAGAAAGATGAAATACGTGAGGGCCACAGAGCTGTGACAGCCCGTGCATTCAACAGGAGCTCGCTGAGGGGCGAGCTGCCCTCCGCGACACACTGACCTGGTCTTGGACATCTTCATCGCACAGCTCCAGCTGCATAATACGCTCAAAAGGTCGGAAGAGTGCTTCGTTAAAGTGAAAATGAGGTGGCTCGTTCCAGTCAGTGAGGACCTCTGTCAGTATATCATGGATGAAGGAAACAGCCTTCTGAGACACGTGCCTTTCCTTGTGACAGGCAGCCTGCAAAATTCAGGAGCGAAAAGAACACCATCAGGACTTCATGAAAATGGTTTCTTAGGTTCCTAACCCACCCATCGTAGGGAGGTAGAAGCAGCAGTTCTCTTAGAGTTAAAAAAAATCCAAGGAATAAATATAGATGAACAGGACCCTAAAATGGAAGGTTTAACAATTTAACCAAAGACCAGACACAACTCCAGTTTTATTTTAATATTTCTGGAAAAATAAATTTCTAGTAATTTCTTTTTTTTTCCTTGTAACATGACAGTTTTCTTGGGCGTAGAGAACACAGGGACCATAAAGACGCCAGAACCTAGTTGGGGAACTCGCCCAGGCTCTCATTTTTAGTCATGCCCCAAGTATGAAGTTCCGATGAGTCATCTGTCCCTCAGGGAGGTGGGCCAACTGTGCCAATAATGCTCTAATTGGGTCACATCTTTGTATCTTTAGTAGTCCTCTCTCACAGCGACCCTGGGCTTGGATGTGTGACCTGCTCTGGACAATGGAACAATACCAAACGTTGTATCAGTAGAGAACTGAAAAGTAGCTCTGATTCGGGGTCTGCCCTCTTGCTTTCCTTTGGAATCCTAAGAATGCCAATGTGAATGAGCCACGGCTGATCTGTTGAAGGGAGAGAGACCGGGGGAGAGGCCCACTTGTTCAGTCCTTCTGGTCAAGGCCGGCATGAACCAGGTGACCACAGGTGCACAAGTGAGGCACATTGAGACCAGACAAGCCTGGGCGGCCCAGCTGAGCCCAGCTCAGATTTCTGATCGACAGAATCATAAGCTAAATAGATGGCTATTGTTTTAAGTGGCTAGGTCTTCGGAGTGGTTTGTTATAGGGTAGCAGAGAACTGATACACTGGTTTTCCACAGCCAAGTTGTTATTTCTTGCTAGAATGTTCTCAGTTTAGTGAATTAAGTTCCAAAAAAGTCTTGATTTTATGACATAGCTCTACAGATGAGCACTAAAAAAAGGAGTAAGAATGGTTTTTACCGAAAAACAAGGCAACGATCTTCCCATCAACTGAGAAGTTAGCCAGTCGTCATATGTTGAAATGCGTAGTTCATATGATATAATTTATCCTATGAACTGCTGTGTCTGAGAGTGAAAGGGGTCCTAGTGTTAATTTTGTTGGGAAAACTAGAATGTATTGTTAGTTACAGGGTACTTCCCAGAAAAAATATATTTAGCTATCAGGAAAGAGAGACTGGCAGGAGCAAAAGACCTTGTTAAATTCACACATAAAACTGAAGCTGCAGGGGTGCCTGGGTGGCTCAGTCAGTTGAGCATCTGACTCTGGATTTTGGCTCAGGTCATCACCTCATGATTCATGAGACTGAGCCCATGATAGGGGATTCTCTCTCCCTCACTCTCTGTCCCTTCTCCGCTTGTGCACATATGTGCTCTCTTTTTCGTATTCTCTCAAAATAAATAAATAAGCTTAAAAAAGAAGTGAAGCTCCAGTCTCAGGTTAAAACTCGGGCATGAAGAATGAGAAACTGGCTGTGGGAGGTACCTAGACAAGTCACATAGCTGTAAAGAAAGAGGGTCAGGGTGATATTGTGGCGGTATCGCCCTTCGTGGTGATTTTCTAGATGCCATGATGTACAGAGAACTATGATGCTTGTACCCAGGCTCCGGGAACCTGACTGCTCTCAGACCATGGTGCTCTTTGTCCACACACTGACTGGAAACCCCTGCACTGGCTCCACTTCCCAGGTGCTCACCTCCCCAGGTGTGAGGCCACCAGTGCTCACCTCCACCAGGTGCGGGGCCACCAGGTGCTCACCTCCACCAGGTGCAGGGCCACCAGCTGCTCACCTCCACCAGGTATGGGGCCACCAGCTGCTCACCTCCACCAGGTGCGGGGCCACCAGGTGCTCACCTCCACCAGGTGTGGGGCCACCAGTGCTCACCTCCACCAGGTGCAGGGCCACCAGCTGCTCACCTCCACCAGGTGCTCACCTCCACCAGGTGCGGGGCCACCAGGCTCCAGCAGCGCATCACGTGGAGCAGTGGCCGTGCTTTGCTCCGCACGATTCTCAGCATGGCATCCCCCAGGCGGAATAGGTGGAGGGCACTTTTCCGGTCTTGGGTGGATTTAACTTCTCCTGTAAGGGGACAAGACCATAAAGCCCAAACACAGAAATAGTTTGACCCATTCGAGCACAGAGAGAGTATGAAAATCCTCAGAGCAGTAGGATTAGTCAGTGGGGGCCAAGCAAGAGAAGAGAGGACCCTGGACTCAAGACAGATGGGGCGGTTCATTCAATAAGATAGGACCCACCTCTCCTATTCACCAGCATATGCCCGGTGCCTGCTGTGACAAGCGTGAGCAAGGCTGTGGGTAAGGAGGAATGATGTGGTGGTTAAGTAGGAGGGCTGGGGAGTCAGACTGCTTGGGCTCAAATCCTGGCTGCCCCATTTAGAGGCCAGGTTACAATGGACCAGAGACTTCCCTCTCTTCCCGCTCATACCTATTATCATTACTGCTCACTCATCCTCCACTTTGCCATTCTCCACTTAATGGCACCTCTGAAGCCCTTGCCAAGCAGGCCAGGACCCCATCTACTCAATAACATACTTGTTCCACCTGCTCTGTCTTGCTTCAGTGCAATCCTTGCCTACCCTGACCTTTTGCAACTTCTTTGCCCCATCCCCTTGGTCTTTTCTTGTCACTTTCTTCCTGTTCATGTCCATGCTTCCTATACAATGGTGATCATTATCACGCTCCTCCAACCAGAAGCCTCCTTTCTAATTAATCTCGCCGTATCAAATAAACTTCAAAATGACAGTGATAATAATCGCTGACATTTACGGACTGTTCACTTGGCACTGAAGGCTATACTGGTTCTTCATGTGTCTTTAATCACTTTATTTCATAAAGCAAGCTTTAAGCAATGTAATTATTGCCATTTAAAAAAAATGCTAGGAAGGTAGACTGACTCGCCCAAGACAATGTAGCTGGTAAATGGTGAAGGCAGCATTTTAACTCATGTGATTCATTCCCAAGCAAGTGCTGCCTTCTCCTAGGTCTGCTGCCTCCTCCTGACCCTGCTCATTGCTTTTTGTAAGCTGAGAGCCTGTTGATTTCTCCAATGCAGAACACTTTGAAGGTTGCCCTTGGGCTCAAGAATGCTCTGGAAATCTGACGGGTCTGGAGGTTGGCTTTACAAGTTAAGGTTGTAAGTCTGTTAAAAACTAGTGGGGAAAGCGTTGTGTTTCTCAAATCAGAATCTGCAGTAAGGATCAAAAGGCCAAATACGTACACTTAGAACTTCAGATTCCTGAAGATGGAAGGGACCTCAGATGTTGTGCCATCCAACCTGCCACCACAGTGGGTCCCCTGCCTGAACCCATCAGGACAGAGGCTCTCTGCTTCCACATGACAACCGTGGTGGTTGATGGACAGATGCATTTGTGAGCATCCTGCTACCCATTTGGGACTCCTGGGCAGCTCAGTACAGCTCTGCTCCCTTTCCTTTTCACTTGGCCTCATCAGTGAAGACAGTGACATTGACTGATCATTAACAAGATGTGCCTTGATGGCGGGAGGCTTCTGACCCTTCCACTTTTCTCTCCCAGCAGTCCCTTGTGGAATTAGGCACCGCTTCTGCAAGTGTTGAGCTGAATGAAGAGACGTGGTCTGTGATTTGGAGATGGGGTCACACCCTCATGTGAAGCTATTTGCACCCTGAGTGACCACATGATTTTCCAATTGCAAGCACAGAACTTAGTAGAACAACCCAGTGCAGCCCCAGCAGTAACACCTATGGTACCGGCAGCACCAACATTTCTGTTCACAGAGAATAATACTGCCACTCCACCCCTGATCCTGCCACACTTCAAAGCTGAATGACAGATCTGCACGAGAACTCAGCCAGAGTACCGTGTGTGAAGGGAACATGGATCAAGTCTTCAGATGGGCTGTTGCCATCAGGGATCTGGGCCATTTCTGGCTACACTCACGGCACAGTCTCTTACAGGAAAGAATTACCTGGCATTGCCAGAGAGTAATCAACTGTATCCGTGACAGAATGGAAGAGCTGGGACTGTGATGCTTTCTTCAGCTGATAAAGGAACCCTCCCAGGGCTGTGAGGTTCAACTTATCCGTAGCATCTTCAAAAAGCCTGGACAAAATAAACAGATTTGTTATCTGGAGATGATTTAGCAAAGTCTTTGTGGTAGAATGATTATGAGAGTTATGTCAAATGGGATTAGTGAAAATGTGTAACTGAAAATAAATGTTATACTTCTATGCCTATTACTACTGTGTACAAGTCTGCTCTAACTATGAGATTTTGATCTAAAAGGCACAGACCATTAAAAAACAAATCTGTGTATCCCCATGGCTTAGTGCAGCCATACTAGGCACTTATAAAATGTTCGGCAAGAAGTTGAAAATTGACAAGGCATCACTGCCTGAAACTGAGTAATGGGGAATGGAATCCCTAGAAGTAGCTTCTGTTTCATAAGCTGTATTGTAGAAGAACCCACTAAGTTAATCACCGCTTCTGCTGGGCTACAAGTGATGAGTCTAGTGCTGAACCTTGACCTTGAGAAGGACACAAAACCCAAGTAAACCCAAACCTGTAAGCCCCCTGGGGGTGGGGCTAGCTTCAATGTTGCCTCTGACACACACCCAGAGCCTTGGACTTGGTGGGAGCTCAAGTATCTACTAAAAGAACAAATATTCCCTAACCTAAGGGGCCTTGCAGGTTCTTTCTGTTTTCTACGCAGCTAGGCGCAGACCTTTCTGGCAGAAGGAGCTGGGAAGGAAGAGGGCAGCACAGGCAGCAGGGTTTGGAGAAGGACCTTAGCCTCACTGGAATTCAGAAGGTCGGCATCAAATGTGGGTTTATGAGGCCAGCCTTCCACTGCTCTTGGGTCATCTGCCGCCGGCCCTCCCAATCTGTGCTCACACCAGAAGGGCGAGCAGCTCTGGGAGTGGCACGCGCTGGGCAAAGGAGAGTGTCACCAACGGAATGGAACAAGGAGCCCCTTTTGAAGAGGTTATAGGAGACGTACAGGTTGTAAGATGGGACTTAGTGCATTAAACATTCACAAACTGTTGAAACGAAGACATTTTTCCTTGCTATTCTCTAATTCCAATTTTAATATCATTGAGTTTCTGTGTCCTATTAACCATTTCTTCTCTCTCATTCCTGGTAAAAAATAAAAATAAAAAAACAGAATCAAAAAGAACCCGCAGTGGTGCATATTATACCCCACCTGACACTGTATACTACTTTCTAGATGCCAAAATGCTTTTACAGCCATCTTGTTGGATAAACAGGAAAAAGGGATGACTGTACTGAGTTAGTAGATGGAGAAACTGAGTCTCAGCATAACTATACAGATGTAGGGGCACCTGGGTGGCTCAGTAGATGGAGCGTCTGACTCTTGATTTTGGCTCAGGCTGATCCTGCTTGGGATTCTCTCTCACCTCCTCTCCCTGGCCCTCTCTCCTGCTCTCTCTTGCTAAAAATACACACCCTACAAACATATACATACATACAACCAAAAACTTTATACAGATGTGACCTTGTAGTTGGTTAGCATCAAAACCAGGAAAGAACTCTTCTGAGCCCAGTGAGTGCTGTTCTGCTCTCCCACTCCCTCCCCGGCTGTCAGGCTCCCTGTATAAACTTCGATGCACCTGTGCTGGGGGCACATCCGTGAGGTGAGGTGGGACTACATGTGACTGGTGACCAACAGCATTTTCAACATCAGAAAAGTGTCACGACTTGGGGTTATTGTTGAGTTTTTCCTCTCAACCTTAAAATGGTCAAATAATATATTACACTCTTGGATGTGGGACTGTAATTATCATAAAAATAATGGGTTCTTACTATTCAGCAAGCTCTATCCTAAGTGCTTCAAGTGTACCAATTAGTTTAACCTCACAGCTACCCTGGGAGAGAGTGACTTCCTGACCCTACTTTACAATGAGGCAATCAGGGCCTCGGGAGATGAACCTGCCCAAGGTCACAGGTTAAGTGCAGATTTCTAGCTCCAGGGAGCCCACCTCCAGAGCCTCTGGTCTTAGACGTCAAACAGCAAGCAGTTCATTATAGATGCGGGGCATGCTGGGAGACAGAAATATGGTTGAAAATAAAATCAAAAGAGGCTTAAATGACTGGCCAGCAAATTAAGGTGTCCTGGGAGTGATTTTGAGCCCACAGAGATGGATGTGGCCTTGCCCTCCGGTGCTCTGTGGTGAGCAGCTGTCTGAGGTGCAGGGACCACGCGTACGCTCATACCTGTCGGCCTGGGTGGACAGCGTGAGCACGGCCTTGGCGGCGCTGCTCCCTGTCATGAGGCTGCCCCCGCGGAAGTCGGAGGCCCGGCCTCGGCTGCCTTCCCTGACCAGTTCTTGGATGGAGAGAGGCTGGATGACGGGGGCCGCGCTCAGGGAGCTCTCGGGCTCCAGGTTCTGCTCCGGAGCCGAGTCCTCACACTCTGGGTCCCCAAGGAGTCCAGGGTCCCCTGGTGCCTTCTGGGGCTGGCTGATGGTCAGAGGGGGCTGAGGGGTGCCGGCGCTGAAATGGGTGTGCTCTAGCGTGCCCACGTACTCACAGACCCTAGACGGAGTCACAGACAGGCAGCCGTTAGGCCTTGCAGCTCAGCAGGACAGCTCTGTAAATCCCAGTGAGAAAGGAAATGCAGCTAGCTTCGCGCCTCCCCGATCTCCCTCCTTCCTCTTGGGATGGCCACCTCTCCTTCTCCCCCCTCACTATCCCATCCACATCTTTTTTTTTTTTTTTTTTTTTTTGAGTTGGACCAGATGGCTTGGAAGTGGGGTAAGGATTCCTCAGACTGTCTTACCCCGTGCTGGGAAAAAGGTGGGTAACAAATGCCCTGTTCATCCTGTTCCATCCTGTCCAGCTTACTGGCTTAGTTTTATTTGGACATTGGCTGTTGGAGGGAGTTTTCCCAAGGAGCCCTCTCCCCCTCCCTCTAGTGCTCTGATTAGGACTCAGGAAGCGTTTGTTTAGGATCTCAGAATGAGTGTGCATACAGCCGGCAGGTCCTCTAGCCACAGTGGCCCGTCTTTCAAGGGCTCTGCCCAGCCATGGTCCTCCTTGGCCCGACAGCCCCATAGCACTAATGCTGGGGTGGTGCCCTAATCCCAGTAAACACAGAGAGGTGTCACAATGTAGCGTATAATGGCCAACTTCCAAATTGTTCGTGCCCAACAGACCCCGGGACTAAGATGGTTCGTGAAGAGGCCTGGTGTTACAGAACAAGTCCAGTTACTGGTAAAGGCCATTCTGGATATTTCACTCTCGTGTTCTATAATCGGGCGATGTTTTGTACGTAAAACGCTCTGGTACAATGTCAGTCATTTTCCGGCCGTGATTGGCTTGTGAGAGCCATGAAGAACAGCAGCTCTCCAGCCTCCACATTAAAACCCATTTTGCTCCAGGCTGATTCACTCTGGCTTTTTCATACCCTAGTTCCTCCCAAGATGGATTTTTCAGTCCTTGGATGATCTGATTGATTCTTTCTGACTCAACAGACACTTATGGCTGTACCTGCTTTGGGGGCATCAAACTGAACCCAGATCTGGCTGGTGCTCTGGGCGAGATATGGGTACCTGCTCCTCCCTCTGCCTCACCACTGCTGCTCTGCCAGAACGGAGCTGGGTGCAAGGCACTGGGCATGTGCTGAGGAGAAGGAGAAGAGACAGCCCAGCACCTGTCCCATGGCTTGGACCCTGAGCAGGGCCTCACCGTCCCAGGTCTGCCCAAACGCCAATGCCTGGGAGACGGGCTTTTTGCCTTTATCTCACGAGGTCTCTGGAGCTACTGCAGTCTGCATCTCACCGGGGCTGTGAACTCTGTAACTGACTGGGGCTCGGGGATCCTGTCATGCACCTGAACACGTGTGGCCAGCAGTCCGGGTTGTGGCTTCCCATCTCCAGGCCTACACTGAGGATGGCGTCCATGCACAACACGTGGGCTGTGTGCAGCCATGCCCCCTGCAGCTTCCCGATCTGCTCCAGTTTCTGCTCCACTTTTAGCTTCACTGTGCCAGAGAGACGATCATTAACATAATGGTCCATGAAGGAGACAGAAAGGGAGAGAGAAAAGATGAAAAGGAAAAGAAAATGAAAGGATGAAAAGGGTCGCTGTGCAAGGGCAGAAGGGAAATGGTAGATGTCACTTGATGTCACTGGCAGCAAGCTCCTTGCCAGCAGGTCCCTTGGGTTCATCCTGCAAGCTGCCCAGCCCCGAGGCCCCACAGACCCTGGCGAGCCCAGCTCTCTGCAGCCTTGGGAGTTGGGTGAGGCCTCGGCTGGTGGGTACAGTTCTTCCAGATCCCTCTGTGGGTTCTAAGTCAGTCACAGCAGTGAGGATGGGCTTCATGTGCTGACCCCAGCTAAAGCTATTTGTGTCCAAGCCCTTCTCCCACCCGTGAATTCAAACCAATAAGAGAGAATTCCTAGCAATCTGCAAGTGCTCTGCAGTGTGTTTAATGTCATGTGTTCATGATAATGATCATCTAAACCATATGTATGTATGCTCTGGGCACATGATGACTACATTGTAACTGAAGATTACTAAACATTTCACTTGCTGAGTTTACATGTATATTTGTGATCTTCAAATATATATATTTTAACTGTAGAGGACTAATGAGAAAGTATGTAGAAGGTAACTTAGTATGTCATTATAGAAAATGCCAAGGCAAGACCAAATGACAACATCATGGACAATATCCATGAATACAGGTTTTGAGTCATTGGAAGATGGGTCTGATGGAATAACTGAGTGACAGACCAAAATGCCAGAGGAAGCCAAACCATATTCCTGTTGTAAGGGGCAAACTGAGTTTTAGTAAAGCATCGCCTTCTCATGGATGTGATACTGATTATATTTTTCATTTGTATAGAATTTGAACATCAATTCTGGTTTTATAATTTTTTTAGGAACTTTATATATAAGGATTTTTATGTAACTTATGGTTGTGCATATTAAGTATATATCCTAGGTAATCATCTGCTGCATTGGCTAATGGATTTAACAAGATAAAAATCAACTCTTCCTGGAGTTCACGAAGCTCAGGTTTTTCTCTTAGAAGAACAAAGGTTTTCTGAAGCTCCTCTCCAGGATTTTCTCCATTTGATCTCCCTCCTCAGAAAACTGGCCATTCTGCTTTGCCCCACTATAACCTGAGGGATCCTAAAATGTGTACTCTGTGAAGGGTACATGAAGGGTACAGATGATGACAGAGAGTGAACAGCTCAGCCAGGCGGTCTCTGGTGTCCCACAGGACTCCCGTTAGCAGCCTAGTTGCCAGGGCCAGTATGGTGTGTCTCTGGTCTTCACAGGGATCTACGGTAGGCACTCTGCAGGGGCAGCCATGTATAAAAGAGCCATGCCTGTGATCCAGGCTGGGGTCTTGTGATCAGCAGTAAATACATGCCATGCATCACACAAGGAACCAACAGGTGTCTGTCATGTGTGCAGGTGTGTGCCAACCGCACATAAGGCGCTAGGTGGATGCTGGCGCTCTCGCTGTTACCTTGTGCTATGGCATCACTGGGCTCTTGGACTTCCTTTTCCTCTTTTTCTTCCTGGACACAGGAGGCAGCTGCCATCTGGGCAAGGGCTGAGGCGCAGTTAGCGGCAACTCCTTCAGAGAAAAGAAACAATTACCCCTCGCTGGGGCTACTGTCTAACCTTTTACCAAGCAGAGCCCTTCTAAAAGATTTGTTTTCCACTAGGGCCATTCCCAGAGTGTTCCTCAGGGACACCCCGTGGGCCAAGGGTCTGGAACATTACTCCCGCCGGTACCTAGAGCACAGCTCAGCCGCGCTGCCTTCCGCAGCCCATCGAGGCTCATGCAGATGGCATCACGTTCCTTTTGGTTCTGCTCTTTGACGCCTTCAGCTCCCAGAATGAAGGCCAACCCTTTGGAGCTTCCTGCCATTCGGCCAGTCAGGGGGGTTGATAAAGTATCGATCAAGTTCTTCCAGCAGCCCACCAGAACATAGCGAGCAAATGCCACACCTAGGACATGAAGGGGCATAGATCACTTTCTGGATACAAAAAAAAAAACAAAAAACAAAAAACAAACCACCTGGCAGTGAATGGCATGGGATCTTTTGACTATCAAGTTAGCAATACTGAGTTGTATGCAATTCTACTACAGGAAATCAAATTTAACACACATTGGATTGTGTTATACTTTGTGTTTATAAACAATGAACACTGCATCAACAGCTAGATGTTGCTAAGTAACTTCCATCAGGCACTTTTTCTGCCAAGACAAGAGTTAATTCATTTATGTCAGCACAGAAAGCTGCCACTTAATGATTTAATCGCTGGTAACATATGTGATGTATATATATTCATAAACTCAAGACCCAAGCCATTACCTGCCACCGTGGAGTCATCAATTCTCCTGCCCTGGGTGAAAGGAGACTCTGTAGAAGCTGAAGCCATCAGCTGGCCCCCAATTGCACTGCTCTCTAAGCCATCAATGTCTGTCAAGTAAAAAGAGGAAGGTTTTCCCTGATTAGAACACTTCAGGAAATAAAAACCAAAAACCAAAAACCAACCAACCAAACAAACAACAAATGGCCACCACAATATCCATTTTTTCCCTACAACAAACATCCATTGAATCCCTCATGTACCAAATATGTAAGAATTTTTTATCAGAATATTAAAATTTTTATTTTATTCCTTTAGTCCAGTTTTCTTTCATTGCTAGAACATCTTCTGTTAAGCTATTATATATTTTTTACTAAAAAAAATACAGATAAACTCTGCTATCTCTGTTGTTGGAAAATCTATTGATTTAGAATATTTTGATGTTTGAATATTCCTTTTATCCAAAATGGTGGCATTATAGCCAAATTTTATATATGCAGGTGCCCTAATGTGGATTTCTCTTTCAGAATTTCCTCATAGGAATGAAGAAGAGAATAAGAATAATGCCTCCTTGGTCAGATAATCACATCATCTGATTCCAAAGTACAGCAATACGTTGATAAAATAATATCTTACAATTTTCCAAGTGTTTTCACATAATATTGTTTTTATTAGATCTTCCCAACAACTCTAAGCAGGTAGGTAGGGCAGGTATTATTTTTCCTATTTCACAGAGAAGGAAATAAATATTCAAAGTAGGTAATCTGCCCAAGGCCATGAGGCCTGTAAAGAAGGAATCAGTCTTAGTATAAAAGTCTTCTGACTCCCATCCGGGCCTCTTTCCAATGACATCACACACTTCGTCCAGCTCAATACAGCATCTTAATTCTCTGTTTAAATTTTTGTTAAAACAAATGCTCATCTCTGGAATTAGCTCAGTGAACCAGTTCTTAATCTACTGGCAAGAAGAGGGTGGCCTGGGATTGAGAAGATTTAACTCTGAATTAAGCAGCCTTATAGCCCTGGGCTGTACTGCATCCTCTGGGCCTTGAATGTCTAAGTGGAAAGGAAGGAACCACTGGAGAAGTGACCATGGAATTGAAGCATATATCCTTGAACATGACTAAGATAGCTGAATATAACACAGAGAGGGAATGGGAAAAGAGGGCAGCCTACCTTTATTCCTTGACTGTAGAACTTGACTCTCACCAATAAGATGAGAGTTCTCTGCATGGTGTTTGAAAATTATTTCATTATATCTTTGAGTTTTACAGTAAGTCCAAGAAGTCTAAAGATTTATGGCAATGCATCTCTTCCCCCACTTTTAAACTTTCATTTGCATATTAAAAATGGTGCATTCCAATAATTAAAATTATACGAAGAAAAAAAATGGTGCTGTGATTAAACTGCATTTTAAAGCCTGCAGGATGCCTTAGACCAAGTTGGGCTTTACTGGTCCTCCCCATCTAGCTTCTTTCTTCACCAATGGCCAAGTTCTTTTCCTTCCCCGCCAGCGAGACAGGCAGAGGGAAAGAAGGGTTGGCATTCATGGTCAGTAGTTCGGATTCTTTGAGCAACATATCTCTGAAAAAAGTTGCTGTGGTAGATTTCAAAAGTTCTCATCACAAGAAAAACATTGTAATGATGTAAGGTGATTTGACATTAACTAAACTTACTGAGGTGATCATTTTGCAATTCAATACACATATATCGAATCATGTTATACACCGTGGGCTAATATAATGTTATATGTTAATTATCTCTCAACAAATTGGGGAACAAAGGCAGGGAGAAATCTCAATGGCTGCTAATGTGGGAACAGGCCAGTTGCACTGGAATTAACTTGACCTAGAGTCAAATGGTCTTATGACATTCATCCGAAATTGGTCTTAATGACATTCATCCGAAATTGCCATTTACGGAAGTTATGTTTCCTATATGCTGGGTGAAGGGCTGATGGATTCAAGCAATACAAAGTTTATCTAAGTGCTAAAATTCCTCAGTTTTACACAACACTTTTACATGACATCAGGAACGGCCACAGTTAGTACAATGTCGAAGGTAAGATTGCTGCTGTTGCTTTTTGTTGCATGTGATGAAAAGATCAGATAGAAGTTTCCAAGCTCCCAGTTAACTGCTGCTCAGATTGACTTGTCATTTCATACCTGGAATTTGCTACAAAGAATCACAAAACTTTACTTTGTAGAATTCTGTGTGAAAAAGCCTGTTTTTCTATCATTTTCCATCTAGAGTTAGAGAGCTCTCCCATCGATGTGGCCCACTGAGTTTACAGTTCCGTGACAAAGGGGTGGCTGACTCACAGTAATGACTGATGAATGTGGCTACTGTGAATGGCCTCTTGTTTGTTCATTTTCATTACTACTGAATGACTCCTTTTGTTAATGTCCAGGTAAGAGATTCACAGAGATTAATTTTGGCAGAAACTACGGTATTTGAAAATTAAAGCTGGCATGTTTAGGATCTTTATCCAAGTTCCAAGGCACTTTAAGCTCCGGGCAGTACCTTCAATCCCTATTGGATGGACTTGGCAAAGACAGATGGAAACAAAGCACTGCTTATAGGCGACTGAGTAAATGTCTCATGCGTGTGTGAATTCCTGTATTTCAAATGGATATAAGTGTTATAGTGATGAACCAAATGCAAATTGGTCACCTGTCTAGTGATCCTGAATCCCAACGTTTGGGACCTAAGCCTTGCTTCTCTCAGTTGCATCCTAGTTTGAGAACCAAGACTCCCAATGCCAGCCAATGGCCAAGACTCTGCCTGGCTGTGGACAGACTATATGTGCTGACTCTCTTGCCTGATTCCTAAATAGCACCTCACCCCAAAGTCCTCATTGCTGGGTTCTACTTGTCAGTAGCCTACTCTGTCTCCTTTGTAAGAGCCCCCCAGTACCAACCACAGGTAATATAACAGACTCTGCCTCCTCGCTGGACTCTCCTGCCCCGGCCCAGTGCTCTTCTCGCTAGTATGCGCTGCCAGGGGCAGAGCCAGGCTGAGCTGTGTGAGGACACAAGGCACTATGGAAAGAACGGGGAAGGTATCTGGCAGAGGGCTGTGCCCCTCACCTCTTGTTAGTCAGAGCCAGGAGATGATTCAGGTCAGAAACCAGTCTGGGAACTCAGATCAAATATAAGATGAGCCTAGAAATCTAATTTATGAAGGTCACTGATGACCAGTCTTGAGTACTTCCTGGTCTTTACCTGACATCACGGTGAAGCCATGAAAAGCCAGGAATGACGGTGTTTGTTGCCCTCCCCCCCTGCAAATTCCATTATGACCACATCCTCTACTGCTCTCTATTCTCTCATGTAAAATTTTTCTTTTCCTTCTTTTTGAGAGAGAGAGACAGTGACAGAGAGAGTACGAGTAGGGGAGGGGCAGGGAGAAAAGGAGAGGGGGAATCCTAAGCAAATCCTACGCTCAGTGTGAAGCCCATTGTGGGGCTCGATCTCAAGATGGTGAGATCATGACCTGAGCTGAAATCTATAGTCGGATTCCTAAGTGAGCCACCCAGGTGCCCCACATAAAATTTCTAATAAACAAGAGTTTTAAAACTCAGGACACTGAAGACAAAGAGGCTGGGCAACTATTTGGTATTATTTCTCATTCTTGTGCAGCTGGGAAAGGAAGAGAGGACCTCTGATACAGATAGGACGTGGGAAGGAAGCCAAGTTTAAAGTCAAGCATTCCAGGGGCGCCTGGGTGGCTTAGTCAGTTAAGTATCCAACTTTCACTTAGGTCATGATCTCGCGGTTCGTGGGTTCGAGCCCCGCGTCGGGCTCTGTGCTGACTGCCAGCTCAGAGCCTGGAGCCTGTTTCAGAGTCTGTGACTCCCCCTCTCTCTCTGACCCTCCCCTGCTCACACTGTCTCTCTCTCTCTCTCCTAGAAATAAATAAAACATTAAAAAAAAAAAAAAGTCAAGCATTCTGGCAGCTCAGGAACACTGAATGATTAGGGTTATCTACTACCACGTGAGAGTTTCCAGGAATAATTCTTGGCTTCGTGCCCAGAAAGTACTTCATCTCCCTAGTAGAGGCCTATAGTTTTACCCTGACAGATGTGAGTGCTAAGTAGTCCTTATCTAATGGGCCACAGTGAGTCCTCCAGGGTCCGACATGAAAGACACAACATTCCTTTGAGGTGAATTCAAGACACCTCCCTGACGCTGTCACCAATTGCCGGGGGGTGAGGGGGGTGGGGTTTGCAGTTGCTGTTTCAAGGCTGGCTTCTCTGAAAGGGGATCTCAGGCCCCTTCTGCCCTCCAAGCGCCACAGGGCCGTGTAAGGAGCCACTGACCGGTCAGCATGGTGATGAGGGGAAGGCTGTTATCCTCCGGGCTGCCCCAGTAGCCGGCTTCTCCGAGCATGTTCCTGTCGAGCACCTGATGGTAGAGTTCTTCAATCCAGGCCTGGGAGAAAACCATCAGCACCCCGCTGGTCTGGACCTGCTTCATGAACTCCTTCTACAGAGAGGAACACAGGAGAAGGTGACCAGAGAGGATCCCCTGCAAATGAACAGGCTCCTCTACTGCCTATTTCTTTCACAGGGGCCCCACCCTGGTCAAGGCTTCCAGGAAAACCAAAACCTGTTGATTGGGAGTGGGGGAGGGGCGGCAAGGAAAGGGGGAAGCAAAATGGAGAAGTCCTAAATTTCATGAAGTTCCTTTCACTTGTGAGATCTTTAAAAAAAATTTTTTTAAGTGTTTATTTTTGAGAGAGAGAGAGACAGAGCGTGAGCAAGGGAGGGTCAGAGAGAGAGGGAGACACAGAATCGGAAGCAGGCTCCAGGCTCTGAGCTGGCTGTCAGCACAGAGCCTGATGCGGGGCTGGAACTCGCAAACCAGGAGATCACAACCTGAGCTGAAGTCGGACACTTAATTGACTGAGCCACTCAGGCGCCCCTACTTATATCTTTTTAAGAAACCCGTATAAGGATTAAGAACACTGCGCTTCCTATTTTTACTCTTTGATGTGTGGGGGGGATTAGAAGTAGCACAGATGAAGGAACACAGCAGCTCCCCCTCACTGCCCCAACGGCAGCAGAGACAGAATGCGTTCCCTGGAAAAGCGTATGTGCCTCAAGAGATACTTGACTTACACCCATGAAGTCGCCAGTTACCCTCGGGAATTTGTGAGTTACCAAGCAAACAAATGCTAGTGGATTCTCTTCATTCAGCTCTGGCGAACTGGCATCAGGGTCACACCATGGGGTGGGTCCCTCGCCAGGGCATATCCACCATGGCGCTCATTCCACAGCTTACAGCAGGTGCTTTGTTAAGGACAAGTGGCAGCTTAGTTCTGGGTCACGAGTAGGTCTGGGTACATTCCGGAGACAATCAAGGGTCTTCCTGACACAGCCCAGCCTTGGTTTTCGGTAAAGGGGACCACACCCCGCCCATCTCCAGACGTTCCTGAACATTCTGGTCACCTGTTTCTGAATGCGGCTTACACTCGAGTGTGTTCAACGACGCCACCGTGAAATCACGAGGCCCCCCCGCAGGCCGCCGCTTCCGGGCCGCCGGGGGTCCTTCCCTCCCCGGAGCAAGGTGGCCGGCCTGTGGCCCACGGCGCCACGCACGGCGCCCCCTACCCCCCGCCACAGCCCCGCAGGGCTCGCCCACCGCCGAGTCGCCGGGACACCGGCGCCGCAGGGTCTGGGCGTGACCGCGCACTCACTATCATGGCGGGCGCCAGCGCGGGCCGCTTCCGGTAGTAGTCGCCGTGCGACAGCTTGAGGTTGAGCAGCAGCGCGCAGTGCGCGGCCGTGTACAGGCTGTCGGCGTTCATCAGCATCTGCAGGCTGAGGCTGCCGCTCCCGTCGAATCCGGGAGAGTGCATCATGCCTGCGGGAGAGAGGCAAGAAACCCGGCTAGACCCGCTTGCGGACGGCCGTGACCCAGCCCTAGGGGCGGAACATGCATCTTGTGGGACGCCCCGGTAAAGAAACTAGTCAGCAAGGAGTATGGGGAGGGTCGGATCCACGCCCTGGCCTGGTGGGGAGGAGCATGCCCTCTGGAGGGCATCTGTTGGGCAAATTTTGAGCAGCCACCTACCAACTACTTTGGTAAAATCACTCTGACCCCCTAAGTCTCAGCTTCTTATGAGTAGGCAGGATAATCAACGGCATCCGTCTCTCATCTCTCGCTCAGGGTCTCTAACGACTTCCCAGTCGTCCCATCACAGTATAAATAAAACCCGCACTCCTCTCTCCTCACTTCCCACTTCCCACAGCCCCCTGAACCTGTGCTGCTCCTAGACCACACTAAGACTGGGCCTGCCTCAGGGCCTTTGCATTTGCTCTTGCCACTCCCCAGAAGACTCTCTCAAGATCTCTGGAGGATATCCTCCCTTCTTTCAGGTTTCTGCTCAAGCATCAGCTTTACAGAGAGCTTCCCTTTCGATTCCATCTAAGACAGCACCCCCCACCCCGATTACCCCCTGCAATATTCCTCCTCCTCACAATGCACTGTTTTCATTGCCTCGATGTCATTTATTCTACCCAACATTCTATTAACATGTATTTATTGTCTGCTGTCACTACTATTATATACTTTTATGTAAGGTCTGTAAGACGGGGAGGCTTTGTTAGTTTTGTTCCTTACAAAATCCCCAGTGCCTAGAACAGTGCCTGGTATATAGAAGAGCCTTAAAAAATATTTCCTCAATGAATAAAAATAGACACATTTTTATGAGAACTAGATGCGATAAGGCATGTAAGACGCTTAGTGCAGTAACTCACAAATCCATACTTTTCTGAAAGTAATAATGTTCCTCAAAAAACAAAACCTGAATTACCATATGACCCAGTAATTACACTCTTTAGGATGCAGGATGTTCCAAAGAATTAAAAGGTGGGATTTGAGCAGATACTGGTATGCCAATTTCATTGCAACAGGATTCACAATTGCCAAAGGAGATGACTGAAGTGTCCGTCAACAGATGAATGGATACACAAAAGATGGTAGATACGCACCATGGAGTTCTAACACATGCTACACCATGGATGAACCTTGCAAATGTGCTGAGTAAAATAAGCCAGGCACAAAATGACAAATGCTGTAGGATCCACGTAAGTGAGGTACAGGCAAGAACAGGCAAATTTATGGAGTCAGAAAGTAGATTAGAGGTTACCAGGGGCTGGGGAAGAAGACTTTCTCTTTGGGATGATAAAAAAAAAAAAAGTTCTGAAAATAGTGGTGATGGGTGTACAACATTGTGGATATGGTGAGTAACACTGAATTGTACACATAAAAATGGTGAAAATGGCAAATTGTAAGTTATATACATATATATGTTTATCACAATTAAAACAAATTAAATTTAATTAAAACAAACAAAACCATTGAACTGTTCCCTCTAAATGGGTGAACTGTATGCTATGTGACTTTTACCTAAATAAATTTTATTTCAATAAATCTTTTAAATAAGGAAACAGAGTTTCAAAAATATATATAAAGGAAGAGCTTTTCGTTTTTCCCTCATTACTTTTTCTAAACATTATTTTTCTAAACATTATTTTCTATTTTATGCTTAATAAGATTTTCATTTTGAAGGGCTCCTTGTGCTTCATAGAAATTAACTGAAAGAGAGAAAAAAACTCAACTATATCAACTATATCTCCTGCTTTAAAGATGGGGTCACTCAGGGGCACTTGTGTGGCTTAGTCAGTTAAGTGTCTGACTTTGGCTCAGGCCACGATCTCAGTGTTCACAAGTCTGAGTCCATGTGGGGCTCTGTGCTGACAGCTTGGAGCCTGGAGCCTGCTTCAGATTCTGTGTTTCCCTTTCTCTCTGTCCCTCCTCCACTTGTGCTCTGTCACTCAAAAAAAAAAAAAAAAAAGATGGGCTTAATCAGCCAGAGAGCATTGGTGCCTTGTTCAAACTTTCCATAGAGAATGTGGAGGAACAAAAATCTCTCAAGTTGGCTTCTCTTCATCTGGTCCTATGTTGGCCTCAATGCTCCACTTGGTTCTGTGAATACCCTGATGCTAAATTTAGGAATGTGGCTGAAACAGCCCATCCTAAATGTATGCATGCAAATGACACACGTGCATATGCTCTTCAGATGCCTAAAATGATCCTATAATCAAAAGTGTACCTCTTTGGGCACCTGGGAGACTCAGTCAGTTGAGTGTTCTACCCTTGGTTTCAACTCCCGTCACGATCTCACAGTTTGTGAGTTTGAGCCCTGCATCAGGCTCCGTGCTGACATTGAGGAGCCTGCTTGGAATTCTCTCTCCTTATCTCTCTGCCCCTCCCCCGCTCACCCTCTCTATTAAAAGAAACAAACTTTAAAAAATATACCTCTTCTATGAAATGTAAGAATTTTCAAAACTAACAAATACATTGGAAACACAAATTTGTAACTGGAATGGTTACTTCTATCCTTGTGAATTTCTTAATGAATACGCTAGCAAGAGAAAATGGGCCAGAAGAAGTTTTTAAAGTTGAAAAATCTTCGAGACCTTTGCTTATTTGAGAACTATATAAACATTTTTTGCTGGGATTAGGTATATATGTCATTCCAATAAAACCACTTTATGCAAAAGTAGGCATCCTCTATTCCTTCCTTCAAGAACTTTGCAGCTGCCACAAGAGATTTTTTTACTGAGGCCACTTTGTGATCATAGGTGGAGGTGCATTTACAAAAGGAGGGTTGAGAGCAGGATTGAAAAATGACACCCTTGGTCAGAATATGAACACTGTATTCCCGCCCTGATGGTCCAGAGGAACACTCCACACCCTTAAGCTCCTGGTGGGGTTGCTTCTAGCCCCTGGAGGAGATAAAGGACAAAAGATCAGTCTCTTTCCATTGCAAATAGAAGAATTCAGCATTGGTGGGTATTTATCCTGGAGAGAAAGGAATATTTGAGTTCCTGAACCAGGAAAACAGAATTTGCAAGTGGCTCTGAGCTTAGGAATCAGTAATAATTTCTTTGAAGATTTTAAAACCAACTACTATTTACCTCGGAACATGTTTTGGAAAACCGAGCACATGCTCAGGTGTTGAAAAGGAAGAAGGTAGCTGAAATGTCTGCTGACACAGAGACCCAAATCATTAGCGGAGGTGTGACAATGTCCCGGAAGGCACTGCTAATGGGGTTGCGGGGTTTGGAAATCATCTCAGACCTGTTAGAAGCAAGCCGTGGGTCCCAGCCTCCCTCTCTAGGCCGGCTACATTTCTTACATCACAAGGAGCTGGCAAATTTGAGAATAAAACAAAAGGATGTTTTATAGTTCACTGGTGATGTTAATAATGAAATAACACAATAGCTGTAATTTATTAAGTGATTTCTAATTTTTAGAACCAATCTCTTCTCGTACATTATTTCTTTTGACATTATCAATTGCCTTCCTCTATTTTATAAGTAAGGCCAGTGTCTCAGAAATATTCAAGTAATTTACCGAAAGTTATATAGCCAGAAATTGGCAAAGGTCTTTTGCTTATAAACTCCAGGCATTTTGCACTATGACATGTCGTATTTGCTTCCAGTGTTGTGAAAAGACTTCCCTCTATCATGTTCCTCTTTAATAGATACTTTATTTTACATTCATCCTGATTGGGGTTCATTGAAGTGTTATAAATTTGGAGTGACCAATTATAGGAACTATGACCTTTAGCACATTCTGGCTATTTGCTTTTTCCAGCGTTCTGTAACTAACGTTCATCATCTCCTTCTATATTAAGATGTTCTTTACTGTCAGGAGCAGGATGATGGCTCACTAGCTAGATTGGTTACCAGCAAAAACCTGGATGCAAGATTAGCATAAATGACCTTGAAGTATCTCCTCCATGTCTTAGATAATTTAGTGTGTCTTTTAAAATACAAATTAAATACTTATGTGAAACATTTAACAGTACAGAAAAATTTTAAAAATAAGAATAATACTTCCTGCTTCTCCCTAGTCCCAATGATACCCATCCCAGATCATACTATACACACTTTATTGAAACTTGGCATTTTCTTAGCAATATATGTTAGATATCTCTTGATATGAGCACTTCAAGGTCTGCCTCATTCTTTTCAAATAACTGTGCATATAGTACTGCATGTTTAGAGTTTGATTTACTTAAGTAAATGCTCTACTGCTAGACATTTATATAGTTTCAATGATGAAAAGAACTGAAATGATCTGATAGCTTTTAGCACTTATGCAAGTGTATCTGTGGGCTAAACTCCCTAAAGCAGAATAAAGACATATATTAAGTTTGATAGATATGGCCTAATAGCTTTCAAATAGTTTTATATCAATTTTTCTTCCTACCAGTGGTGCCTAAGAATAATGTACCCACTCGGCAACACTGGGCATTATCAATTTTCTAAAACCTTGTAATGATATCATGTGATTTTTGGTTGCATTTCTATTCACTAATAACAAAGTAGCAGAAAGAGAAATTAAGAGAACAATTCCCCCAAACTGTCCCCAAAAGAATCAAATACCCAGCAATAAACTTAACCAAGGAGGTGAAAGACCTGTACTATGAAAACTATAAAACACTGATAAAAAATACTGAAGATGACACAAATAAATGGAAAGATATTCTGTACTCATGGGCTGGAAGCATTAATATTGTTAAAATGTCCATACGACCCAAAACAAACTTTATCAAAATACGAATAGCACTTTTCACAGAACTAGAATAATCCTAAAATTTGCATGGAACCTCAAAAGACCCCAAAATATCCAAAGCAATCTTCAGAAGGGTAACATAGTCTCAGATTTCAAGATATCCTACAAAGCTGTAGTAATCAAAATTGTATGGTACTGTCACAAAAATACACACATAGATCAATAGAACAGAATGGAGGTCCTAGAAATAAAACCATGCTTTTATAGTCAAT